TTGAGATGTGTCTGTTACTTGAACTCTGTGAAGCATTTATTTGGGCTGCAATTTCTGAGACTGGTAACTCTAATGAACTTATCCTCTGCAGCAGAGGTAACTCTGGGTCTTCCTTTCCTGTGGCGGTCCTCATGAGAGCTAGTTTCATCATAGCACTTGATGGTTTTTGCGACTGCACTTGAAGAAACTTTCAAAGTTCTTGAAATGTTCCAGATTGACTGACCTTCATATCTTAAAGTAATGATGGACTGTCGTTTCTCTTTGCTTATTTGAGCTGTTCTTGCCATAATATGGACTTGGTCTCTTACCAAATAGGGCTATCTTCTGTCACAACACAACTGATTGGCTCATTAAGAAGGAAAGAAATTCCACAAATTAACTTTTAACAAGGCACACCTGTTAATTGAAATGCATTCCAGGTGACTACCTCATGAAGCTGGTTGAGAGAATGCCAAGAGTGTGCAAAGCTGTCATCAAGGCAAAGGGTGGCTACTTTGAATTTGTTTATCACTTTTTTGGTTACTACATGATTCCATATGTGTTATTTCATAGTTTTGATGTCTTCACCACTTTTCTACAATGTAGAAAACAGTAAAAATAAAGAAAATCCCTTGAATGAGTAGGTGTGTCCAAACTTTTGACTGGTACTGTAGTGGAGATGAGCATATGCCAGAAAGCAGGAAGAGCCCCACCTCACCCCCCCTGATTCATCGCTTTCCCATTTTCTACACAGGAGGCAGGAATAGCAGCAGAACAAACAGCTCAGGGATAGGGGGTAGGGGGAGGCAGGGAGGGAGGGAGGAGGGGGAAGCAACAGGATGTTGTTTGAGTTTCACGTCCTGTTTCCTTCCCTTTCCCAAGAAGCTACTCTAACGCAGGTGCACAAGCTCTCCTCTAACCCCCCCCCCCCGAACAAGTTCAACTTTGCTCGGTTCCTATTTGAGAACATGTACTCCCAACTCTCACTGGCTTACTCTCTCTACTATGGACACACAAACACGCACGCTCACACACACACTGACTCACTCACATACACACTCTCCCCTTACAAAACCGTCCATTGTTATTCAGCAAAGTTACTTTTGCTATCTCTTGGTCAATTGCAGACCCTTGTGAATTTGGGACGACATGTAAGACATGGGTCAAAGAGGGTTCTGTAAAGAGTTCCTGACTTTGATTTAGAAGCACTTTTATCTTCATGTAAGACCTTATGCTTTAGCTGGGCCTTTCTTCTCCCTGGAATACAAATATCCACGTCAGTCGTCACATGACACGGCTACTAACCCACAGGCCTAAGTGGCTCCCCATTATGTTAAACTGGCCTTGCGTGAGTAGTGCTGCAGAAAGACTGTGCAGGGGCGTGGGCTGCAGAATGAAAGGGTCAAGTAAGTCTTTGTTCTGTGATATATGTAGAGTGAGAGGATTTAAAAAGCTGTGTCCGGCTGGGACGTCAAATGTGCATTAACGGCCCTTTTCTTTTTCTACAGGCGTTGTTTCTTTTTCAAATATCTGAATTCTTGCCTTCGACCAGTTGGTTACATAAAGGCGGAAATGTTGAAAAAGTACAAGTTCAACCCAGGTAGATTCTGTTTAATGAACGTGAACCTAACAGAACCCCCCCCTTCTCCACCTCATCCCCCCATCTGCTCCCCCCCCTCCCTTCCAAAAAGAGAGAGAGGCTGTGTTTCATTACAAATTATTCTACATTTTTTAAGTACACTCAGAAAGAGCAGTTTCCATGACATCATCAACTGTCAGTATGGGAAGCCAGTCGCTTATATAGTGAAATTCAAACCAGGGCACAGACGAGGCAACATAGTACTCGTGCAACCCAGGACCCTGCTGGGCCATACAGGAACATGAATTGTGGGACATTACCTAGAGTTAGAGTGCAATGTGGACATACAATTGTGAGAGGATAACCGGGGACATTGTTCTATTTTTTTTTTTACCTTAATAGAGTGAGTCATCTGATTTTCCTCCTTTGGCATACATGAGGGCTGGTTGACGCACATCTCAGAGCTATCGTTCATCCAGATCTGATTATTGCATCAACAGGTGTGTACTAGGCCAGAAGTCAGGGGTCAATTGCTGGGCAACAAGTATTATATGAGGCAATAACAGTGTTAAACCAACCCTCACACCCAAATCTAAGTGAAAGGTGTCCTTCCTAGATTCTCTATGAGTACATTGCCAGGCCCAGACCAAACTCCAAGGTGAGAGAGGAAGCAACATGATGCCTGAAGATCCCAAGGAGAACAGCAGCATTGTTGGCACACAGAAAAGTTAAGGGCTGTTAAAACTAAATGTGGGTGAGCTATATCCGACATTCCAGTGAAAGCGAATATCCAAATGGCTGGAGCTGGCCATCATGAAGAGGCTATGGCAGCTTAGGTGAACCCTGACCTCTGCCTTCCAAGGTGGTCTGTCACAGACAGACTAGCTAGGTCAGGTCAGGTCAGAGGTCACACAGACCGACAATAATAATAATGATATATCTGATCTCATTATTCTCCTGTTCAAAACAAATCTGTTTTTCTGAGTAAATGACGTAAAAGGGTGAATACTGTACGTACATAGTAATTTAATTTAGATTTGTTTAGATTGTCATATCCTATTATGATTGCACCAGATTTGGGGCTTCGTGTGTGTGTATATATATTTGTGCATGTGTGTGTGTGTGTATTTGTGACTTGTTTCAGGAAACTAGGCGTATGTCACTTGTCACTACTTCACAGGAGAGGCATTTGAACATAAACATTTCTTTTTTATCAAAATGCTTTTTTTGGGGCAGAAATGCCTTCTGGAACATGTGAACTTTCATGTTTCTTAATAACAAACTTGTATGCCATCTGTGAATACGAATACAATTGTTAAAATTATGAGCCTAGTTGGTTTAGCCACGGAAAAATACATTAACCTTCCCGCTAGCCATGATTGGCTGAGATAATGAATGGGCTGGACATGTGCCATGTAGCGCGCTTCTCTGAGCTGCTCAGTATGTCTGGGGGGCGGCAGGTAGCTTAGTGGGTAAGAGCGTTGTGCCAGTAACCGAAAGGTCGCTGGTTCTAATCCCCGAGCCGACTAGGTGAAAAATCTGTCGATGTGCCCTTAAGCAAGGCACTTAACCCTAATTGCTCCTGTAAGTCGCTCTGGATAAGAGCGTCTGCTAAATGACGTAAATGTAAATGTAATGTAAATGTATGTGTAGCTAGGTAATCCTTTCTAAACGCAGCTTTTTTGAAAGATGTCACGAAGAACTGCATAAGTGTTGCTAATGCTCTCCACTTTCTGGAGGACCGAGTTTTGAAATCAGTGGAATACCCAGTGGAAGCAGAGTATGATAGCTAAGGAGATAGATAAAATTCTGGCGTTTGATTGCAAAATAATGCGGAGGGAGTCGAAACGAGAACACACAGAAGGCGGCTGTTGTATAAAACACCTGTCTCCGGATTACATTTTCAAACTAAGGGCAACCGTGGTATCTGTGACAGAGAGGGAGAAGCATTCATCCATGTATACGGGTAAGAGAGTCTTGCAAGCTACATTTTCATATATATGTTTCTAATTTTGTCAAAAAGTCATTTTTATTGCAGCTAGCTACCGTTAGCTGGCTGGCTCGCTAGCTAACGTTACATGTATGATCTGTGTAGTAATATTTTTTGTATCTCAGATACATTTGCATTGCTAGTTATAGCCTAATGTTAACTAGCTAGCTAACATTGAACCTAGCTAGTTGGTTAGTTTTAGCTACCAGCAGATTCATGCAGGGTAGTAATGTTATGAGTTGGGATAATGGTTCATTGTTTAGCTAGCTAGCTAGCTAGCTACATGTCTAAAAGTAACCATTTCACTGTACCGTTTACACCTTCTGTATCATGTGCATGTGAGAAATAAATGTAGATTTTATTTGATGTAGTGTTTACCAGAGATGGTAATGTGAAGAACAACATGACCTGCACCAAAGTCAGATTAGGATATAACGTTAGGCCAACGAGACAATGTCCAAGTTCTAAAATTATCCGGTAGAACGCCCTGCTTTTATTTCGTCACAACCGTAAGCAGTTATTTGTAATTAGCTCGCCATTAACTTGTAAATAATGATCTTGTTGTGAGTTTATTTTCCTGTAATAATGAATACAAATTAGCTAAAGTTAAGACGTTGTCAGCGATATGATATGGTCATTATTTGAACTGGCTAGCCAGCTAACTTAACATTAGCTAGCAAGCTAGAAATGAACCAAAACATTGTTTAGAAAGTTGCTTTTAGTTGCCTGGTTTGCTAGATTGACATATACTAAATTCATTTTTAAACGGATGGGTTTATTGGTGTTAAAATACACCAGTTATGCTATTTTGGACCACCAGGCATGCAGCCTGTCATTTTTGTGTTTATACTTTTTTATAATGACAACGACAAAGTTTGATGTCGGACGACAATAGAATGTTCATGATGTCACTGCGACAACTGTCTACAGACATGACGATAGACATGGTATAAAACCAGCCATTAGTCTTGAAATCTTTGGTTTAGTACACTACCGTTCTCACTCTGTTTAGTACATGGCCTCACATGGGAATCCTTAAAGAGATGGGTGGGGCTAAGGCTTAAGAGGGTGTGAACGACGCTGAGTGGGTGTAGACTAAGAAAAGCTCTCCAGTAGGTGTACCAAAACATTCAAGTGCTATTTTCTCAAAAGTGGGGTTACAAGTTTATCAAAATTCAAAACATAATTATTTTCCCATTGTTCCTCAACTGCAGTGTATGCTATACCATTTTCTAGCTCTGAGTCTCTACTTTTATCCAATGTAAAATACACAATTTCAAATGTTGCTACATAAGACCGAATCGAGGTGGTTGGTCACATATGTGAGGGGTCAGAGGTTGTAAAGCATTGTAGTAGCAGGCCTCCTCATACAGACCCTCATGTCACCTCCTCTCTCAGCAGGGTGGTGTGGTCTGCTCCTCTATCAGCAGGGTGGTGTGGTCACCTCCTCTATCAGCAGGGTGGTGTGGTCTGCTCCTCTCTCAGCAGGGTGGTGTGGTCTGCTCCTCTCTCAGCAGGGTGGTGTGGTCTGCTCCTCTCACAGCAGGGTGGTGTGGTCTGCTCCTCTATCAGCAGGGTGGTGTGGTCTGCTCCTCTATCAGCAGGGTGGTGTGGTCTGCTCCTCTCTCAGCAGGGTGGTGTGGTCTGCTCCTCTCTCAGCAGGGTGGTGTGGTCTGCTCCTCTCTCAGCAGGGTGGTGTGGTCTGCTCCTCTATCAGCAGGGTGGTGTGGTCTGCTCCTCTCTCAGCAGGGTGGTGTGGTCTGCTCCTCTCTCAGCAGGGTGGTGTGGTCTGCTTTTAGCTTTGTTTTGCTTTTCTCACCCTACTCTCTCGTCCCTTGTTTTTTCCCCAGGAGATTTACAGGATAGATTTTTTTCAGCAATATCCTCCTACTTACAGTATGTAGTGGTAGTTCATTGGGTTCAATTCCCAACAACACACTGTGTACTTCCCAAATGGCACCCTATTCCCTATATGGGTCGTTCTACAGAAGTGGTGTATATTGGGTGTTGAAAAAATATATATATCCGATTTGTATCCTATTTCTCCCAAACTTTCACCACACATCTTCCAACATACAGTGCATTCAGAAAGTATTCAGACCCCTCGACTTTGTCCAAATTTTGTTACGTTACAGCCTTATTCTAAAATGGATAAAATTAATTTTTTCCTCTTCAATCTACACACAATACCACATGACAAAGCAAAAACAGGTTTTTAGAAATGTACATAAGTATTCAAACTCTTTACTCAGTACTTGGTTGAAGCACCTTTGGCAGCGATTACAGCCTCGAGTCTTCTGGGGTATGACGCTACAAGCTTGGCACACCTGTATTTGGGGAGTTTCTCCCATTCTTCTCTGCAGATCCTCTCAAGCTCTGTCCGGTTGGATGGGGAGCGTCGCTGCACAGCTATTTTCATGTCTATCCTGAGATGTTCGATCGGGTTCAAGTCCGGGCACTGGCTGGGCCACTCAAGGACATTCAGAACTTGTCCTGAAGCCACTCCTGCATTGTCTTGGCTGTGTGCTTAGGGTTGTTGTCCTGTTGGAAGGGGAACCATCAACCCAGTCTGAGGTCCTGAGCATACTTTGCTCTGTTAATCTTTGCCTCGATCCTGACTAGTCTCCCAGTCCCTGCCGCTGAAAAACATCTCCACAGCATGATGCTGCCACCACCATGCTTCAGCTCTAGGAATTGTCTTGGTGGTTCCAAACTTCTTCACTTAAGAATGATGGAGGCCACTTTGTTCTTGGGGACCTTCAATGCCGCAGAAATGTTTTGGCACCCTTCCCCAGATCTGTGCCAGGACACAATCCTGTCTCGGAGCTCTATGGACAATTCTTTCGATCTCATGGCTTGGTTTTTGCCCTGACATGCACTGTCAATTGTGGGACCTTATATAGACAGGTGTGTGCCTTTCCAAATCATGTCCAATCGATTGAATTTACCACAGGTGGACTCCAATCAAGTTGTAGACACTTCTCAAGGATGATCAATAGAAACAGGATGCACCTGAGCTCAATTTCGAGTCTCATAGCAAAGGGTCTGAATGCTTATGTAAATAAGGTATTTCTGGTTTTTATTTATAATAGATTTGCAAAGATTTCTGTTTTCGCTTTGTCATTGTGTGTAGATTGAAGAGGGGAAAAAATAATTTAATCCATTTTAGAATAAGGCTGTAATGTAACAAAATGTGGAAAAAGGGAAGTGGTCTGAATACTTTCCCAATGCACTGTATATCAGGTAGACATACACCACCGTTCAAAAGTTTGGGGTCACTTAGAAAGGTCCTTGTTTTCCAAAGAAAAGCAATTTTTTTGTCCATTAAAATAACATCAAATTGATCAGAAATACAGTGTAGACATTGTTAATGTTGTAAATGGCTATTGTAGCTAGAAATGGCTGATTTTTTCATGGAATATCTACATAGGTGTACAGAGGCCCATTATCAGCAACCATCAGTCCTGTGTTCCAATGGCGCGTTGTGTTTGCTAATCCAAGTTTATACATTTTAAAGGCTAATTGATCATTAGAAAACCCTTTTGCAATTATGTTAGCACAACTGAAAGCTTGACCATATGGTACGTAAGAATTGCCCATCAAGCCAATCCAACTTGTGGGAGGTGCTTCAGGAAGCATGGGGTGAAATCTCTTCAGATTACCTCATCAAATTGACCACTAGAATGCCAAAAGGTCTGCAAGGCTGTAATTGCTGCAAATGGAGGATTCTTTGACGAAAGCAAAGTCAGAAGGACACAATTATTATTATTTTAATTAAAAATCATTATTTCTAACCTTGTCAATGACTACATTTCCTATTCATTTTGCTATATTTCCTATTCAAACTCATTTCATGTATGTTTTCATGGAAAACAAGGACATTTCTAAGTGACCCCAAACTTTTGAATAGTAGTGTAAATACTACTGACACACTTCGTTTGCATTGCAGATTTGAAATATTTACCTGAATTCCTTCCCACTACATTTGTCACTACTGAAACATAGTGAAAAAGAGAAGCACCATGCACAGTAGAGATCCTTTTGACTAGCCGTTATTTGCATACCAAATTAACTAAATTGTAAAAACATGATTAGCAAGATTTTCAAAACCTTTAAATTGAATTTAGATAAATATAATCTATATTGTAATAGAGCACAAGATGTTCTATTGAAATCATTTTCTCTGTTGTCGACAGGTTTCAGCCTGTCAGTCTGCGGTTTTGATTTAACGTTGGGCCGGAGCCATAAAGGGGAAAAAAAACATCCTCAAAAAGCCTTTTTTCTCCTGGCTGGCCCTTCTGAGAAAGACAAAGAAGAATGAGAAAGAAGGTGGATACACATACACCCACACACACACACACACACACGTGATTAGTGTAAAAATACCTATTTTATTGAATTTCCATCATTACAATTGCACACAATCAGTTTGAGCAATCTTTTTAAAATATTTAATAGAAATTCATTTAGCTCTAAGAAGCGAACAGTCATCAGTCTTGTTTTTATATCAGAGGCTTTAAAGAGATCGACGTGTAAATATACTGAGAACTTCACTTCCCCACGGCAACGGTCAAAATGATGTTGCCACGGTAACCCTTGCCCACCCGCCCATCATACAATAAAACAATAGAACATATGCCTCCTCTCTCTTCTCCACTTTACTTACAGTAGCATTTGAAACCATCTCCGCTAATTTATTTTCTGAGACCAGTCAACATTGACAATATGGACTTATCCACCCTCCCTCCCCATTGCATTTGCCTCGTCCCACTCCCACAAGCCTGGCTTGAATCGAATCCCCCACAAAAGAGCACAACACAAGTCAAGCACAGCTGCATGTACCTGCAGCCAGGTATCCATCGGCCACTGAGAGACACTAAGCGCCAAAAGTTTCAATATTCCAAAAAAGGTGAATCTGATGGTTACACAGCTCACCTTAACGCCGAAACAGTTAAGCAAAAATGATGTGCAATAATGTGTGAAAACAAAAGCATAGTTCACACACACACAACAGATTTACACTTGATATAGTCTGGCAAATGCATAACAGCAATATGTTTTTGATTACGACTAATTTACAGCTTCTGAAATGAGGGCTGTGTGATGTGTGAGTAGAGAAGACAACAGCTTATGTATTCCAGAAACCAACATTAACAATGGGGAAAGTACAGACTGTTTGGATGGGATGTCATTATGTCACTGGTTTTATTATGCATGAGGGGGAAGAGGGTGAGGAAGATTGTGACAAAAACGGCTTCCTATGATTCTTAGTTTTCAACCTTTCAGATCACATGACTCATCGCTACCTGTCTGACCTGTGACCTGTCACTTTTTAAATTAATAACCGACCCTCCAATTCCCGAAAGAAGAATTCCCGCTTTACCAATACAAAGTCCCCAAATACACGGCTGGAAAAAACTAAATAGGATAAGTCAGAAACCTGGAAGAATCAGACGGTGGGATATGAGATCATAGGAGGATGGATAGTTGACTGGACATATTTTCCACCGTGACGTCCTGCCACGATGACAAACCCTGGGTGACAATTTCAACAGCAGGTGGGTACTACTAACGAGCACGCAAATAGAATCACTGACTTGAACTGAGACACACACAGATGTGAACACACACGGACAATCTGAACCACCCACACACGGACAATCTGAACCACCCACACACGGACAATCTGAACCACCCACACAAGGACAATCTGAACCACCCACACACCAGAGAGAGTGAATCATCCTCCCATAATGCACGTCTGGCTTCCTGGGAGAGCTTACTGTGTGTGTGTGTCAGACATGTGACTGGTCCTAGTATCTTCCAGGAGAGTTCAGCTCAGTGCAGGAACAGAGGGGATGAAGAGAGCATTGCCCTTCAGCCAATCCACTGACTGTATTAGACATGTCCCACAACACACACACACACATCTTATGTTCTTCAATCATCGTGGGGACCAAAAATTAATTTCCATTAAAAATCCTATTTTCCCTAACTGCTAACCCTAACCTTAACTCGTAACCGTAACCCAAACACTAACCCCTAAGTTTAAAATAGCCTTTGTCCTCATGGGCATGTGGGAAATGTCTCCACGAGGAAGAACTTTCCTTGTTTTACTATCCTTGTGGGAACATTTGGGGATTTTAGATCGCTACAAGAATAGAAGAACCCCCCCCCCCACACACACACACACACACACATAACCTATACAGTCAGAATAAAACTGAGCACTATCCTCTTACCTGACAATCCCCAACGAAAATTAAATATCGACAACTGTATGTGTGAAAAAAAATGACTCATGCATAAAGAACACATACCGTCATATCAAATCAACGTCAACAACGACCCTTGGAAGTTATACCTCTAGTAAATTCAAACAGTAAAAACCACACAAACTGCCCCTAACATTGGATGACCTAAAACGTCCTTTCACCAAATGCAAGCGGCAGGAAACGTTATATACGACGCTAACGACAGTAAAGCTTTTCAGTGTTCGGAGATAAGGCCTAAACAGCATCAAGCATAGATCAAATACAAATAAAAACGACAAAGTATGAAAATTACTGATACGATAACTGATATAACTAAAAAATGTACACCAGACACAGAATGGTATTTGACCAAATAAAAATGATGTATTTATTATTTCCCTCACTGTATTTGACCAGATAGAATACATGATTTAGGCACTTACAGCTGTACACCTATAAACTAAGAAGAAGCTAGACTTGCTTTGTGAAGGGGATGGAACATTAGGAGACTCCCATTTGTTTTCCAAGTGTGGTTGTCAACCAATTTGGGAAACCAGACACAAAACTCACGTGCACTGGCCAGCTAAGAGAGACTAGCAGATGGGGACAGCGTCACTAACAGCCTGTGCTCTACAACCAGCCCATCATCGCCCCAAATCAGGGCCCAAATCTTGGCACACGGAAACAAATATTGCGCGTCTTGCGTGAGCGCTGGCCAGCTGTTCGATTTGATAGTAAGAGAGTCTGTCACAGAGGAATAGGCAGGGCACAGACACCATGTCCCCGAATTAGTCTCTCTCTCCTCCGCCTGAACTCACGTGTTCCAGCTCCTTAACCCACTCCATGTGACCTGTTGCCACAAGAAAAGAGCAACCAGTGAAGAACAAAACACCATTGTAAATACTACCCATATTTATGTTTATTTATTTTCCCTTTTGTACTTTAACTATTTGCACATTGTTACAACACTGTATATATACATAATATGACATTTGAAATGTCTTTATTATTTTTGGAACTTTTGTGAGTGTAATGTTTACTGTTCATTTTTATTGTTTATTTCACTTTTGTTTACTATCTACTTCACTTGCTTTGGCAATGTTAACATACGTTTCCCATGCCAACAAAGCCCTTTAATTGAACTTATAGATAAAGAAAGAGAGAGAGAGACAAAATTAAAATAAAACACAAAAGAAAGCAGGGATGATGGGACCAATTCAGAATCGAGGGAGATGGGTGGAGATTTCTGGACGCACCATTAGTTATAACACAAAAGCAGTATTTTTGTCTTATGACTTGAATTTATGGGCATATAACCCATCTTTAATCTAATCTAATATTATAAAACATGGACCGGCAGAAGACAGTAACAGTTATGCAAGACGACCATTATGGGAGAACAGGCTTTTAGTTGCCAACAGTGGAACACTGTTCAAAAGAGACATTAGTCTTCAATATCTCAGTGGCTTTCAGAAGGTGAAGGGGGAAAACAATGCCACATTGTGGGTTACCAGACACTAGAAATCATGTGTGTTGATGGCACAGCACATACGCTACCACTGTACCTGTCATGCCAAGGGGCAAAGCACAATAGATCCACTACTGTGGAATGCTTGGGGTCTGGTAATGGTATGGGCTCTTGGATGGTGGTTGGAATGCAGGGGGTCTGGTAACGGTATGGGCTCTTGGATGGTGGTTGAATGCAGGGGGTCTGGTAACGGTATGGGCTCTTGGATGGTGGTTGAATGCAGGGGGTCTGGTAACGGTATGGGCTCTTGGATGGTGGTTGAATGCAGGGGGTCTGGTAACGGTATGGGCTCTTGGATGGTGGTGGAATGCAGGGGGTCTGGTAACGGTATGGGCTCTTGGATGGTGGTTGGAATGCAGGGGGGTCTGGTAACGGTATGGGCTCTTGGATGGTGGTGGAATGCTTGGGGGTCTGGTATGGTATGGGCTCTTGGATGGTGGTGGAATGCAGGGGGTCTGGTAATGGTATGGGCTCTTGGATGGGGATGGTAATGTATGGGCTCTTGATGGGGTGGAATGCAGGGGGTCTGGTAATGTATGGGCTCTTGGATGTGGGAAGCAGGGGGTCTGTACGTTATGGCTTTGAGGTGGTGAAGCAGGGGTCGGTAACAGTATGGGCTCTTGGAGGTGGTTGAATGCAGGGGTCCTGTACGGTAGGCCTGATGTGGGGATGCAGGGGCTGAACGGTATGCTCTGGATGGTGTGAATGCAGGGGTCTGGTAACGGTATGGGCTCTTGGATGGTGGTTGAATGCAGGGGGTCTGGTAACGTATGGGCTCTTGGATGGTGGTGAATGCAGGGGGTCTGGTAATGGTATGGGCTCTTGGATGGTGGTTGAATGCAGGGGGTCTGGTAACAGTATGGGCTCTTGGATGGTGGTTGAATGCAGGGGGTCTGGTAACGGTATGGGCTCTTGGATGGTGGTGGAATGCAGGGGGTCTGGTAACGGTATGGGCTCTTGGATGGTGGTTGAATGCAGGGGGTCTGGTAATGGTATGTGCTCTTGGATGGTGGTGGAATGCAGGGGTCTGGTAACGGTATGGGCTCTTGGATGGTGGTGGAATGCAGGGGGTCTGGTAATGGTATGGGCTCTTGGATGGTGGTTGAATGCAGGGGGTCTGGTAACGGTATGGGCTCTTGGATGGTGGTGAATGCAGGGGGTCTGGTAACGGTATGGGCTCTTGGATGGTGGTGGAATGCAGGGGGTCTGGTGATGGTATGGGCTCTTGGATGGTGGTGGAATGCAGGGGGTCTGGTAACGGTATGGGCTCTTGGATGGTGGTGGAATGCAGGGGGTCTGGTAACTGGTATGGGCTCTTGGATGGTGGTTGAATGCAGGGGGTCTGGTAATGGTATGGGCTCTTGGATGGTGGTTGAATGCAGGGGGTCTGGTAATGGTATGGGCTCTTGGATGGTGGTGGAATGCAGGGGTCTGGTAACGGTATGGGCTCTTGGATGGTGGTGGAATGCAGGGGGTCTGGTAACGGTATGGGCTCTTGGATGGTGGTTGAATGCAGGGGGTCTGGTAACAGTATGGGCTCTTGGATGGTGGTGGAATGCAGGGGGTCTGGTAATGGTATGGACTCTTGGATGGTGGTGGAATGCAGGGGGTCTGGTAATGGTATGGGCTCTTGGATGGTGGTCCTCTGTAGCTCAGCTGGTAGAGCACGGCACTTGTAACGCCAGGGTAGTGGGTTCGATCCCCGGGACCACCCATACACAAAAATGTATGCACACATGACTGTAAGTCGCTTTGGATAAAAGCGTCTGCTAAGTGGCATATTATTATTATTATTAATGGTATGGGCTCTTGGATGGTGGTTGAATGCTTGGGGTCTGGTAATGGTATGGGCTCTTGGATGGTGGTTGAATGCTTGGGGTCTGGTAATGGTATGGGCTCTTGGATGGTGGTTGAATGCTGGGGGTCTGGTAATGGTATGGGCTCTTGGATGGTGGTGGTAAGAGGAAGGTCCTACAACAGCACATATAGATAGGAAGGACAGGAAAGGTTTTATAGCCTTGGGCTGATTGTCTCTACAGACAAGCGGAGGACATCAATGCATGGATGTTTGTATAGTTGACAGAACAGAACACACTACTGGGGCGGCAGGTAGCTTAGTGGTTAAGAGCGTTGTGCCAGTAACCGAAAGGTCGCTGGTTCTAATCCCCGAGGCGGTGAAAAATCTGTCGATGTGCCCTTGAGCTCCTGTAAGTCGCTCTGGATAAGAGCATCTGCTAAATGACTAAAAATGTAAAATTTTGACAGAAGAGTGGTATTCAGACTCAACACCAAAGTGGAACAGAGAACACAACTGCCCTGACACTAAGTTAACACAACTGCCCTAACACTAAGTTAACACAACTGCCCTAACACTAAGTTAACACAACTGCCCTGACACTAAGTTAACACAACTGCCCTGACACAAAGTTAACACAACTGCCCTGACACTAAGTTAACACAACTGCCCTGACACTAAGTTAACACAACTGCCCTGACACTAAGTTAACACAACTGCCCTGACACTAAGTTAACACAACTGCCCTGACACTAAGTTAACACAACTGCCCTGACACTAAGTTAACACAACTGCCCTAAAACTAAGTTACACATATTCAAACCTGGGTCTAATATGCAAAATGAGTATGAGAAATAATATATACAGGTATGAATGTCTGGAGTTGGTAATGTATTCGTTTTCTCGTTAAGCAACATTTAAATAAGATAAATTGTTTGCTTAAAAAGGACAGTTCAAAGTTTCAAAAGCAGGACTCACACTTAAAGCACAAAAAGAGAACTGTGCATTTCATTATTGAAATGTGATTAATACCCTGCCTTCCCATTTTGCCGCATCATAACATTTACAGTAGTACTTCCATAATAGCAGAGAGGCTCAAGAGCATCGGCCATCTTGCCAGTCACACTCAGAGAGCAGCAGAAAGTAACAGACGTCGATCTCTATACAGTATCAGCCACCACAAGAACAAGCAACAACCAAGGCTTCCGTCAAACTAGACTAGAGTTTCCAGAAGTGTTTTTTTTTTTTTTTTTTTTTTTTTTTTTTTTAGATCTCATGTAAATGAGTTGTATGTGTTTTGAAAACGGCAACAAACTACTACTGTATACGTCAGACTCTATTCATCCCACAGTTGTGAAACCAAAGACTTGCATGACTGTCACAATCTAACAATCTAGTAGACTGGGTTCGGGAGGGAGAGGTGGAGAGGGGGGGTGAGAGAGTACGGTAACAGCAGCGAGTTAATATGATACTGCAGTCCAAGCAGGTAACGATATAGAAAAATGTGGAGGGGCCACTGTCAGTTAGTCAGTAGATTGGTTCGGTAAGGGGGGGAAACAGCTTCATTATGTAACCTATGCAAGTTAATTGTGAGTCTATATGCTCCTGCAGTGTTCAGCAGGTATAGTAGATGTGATGATGGGAGTAACGTGGAGGGATTGACACTGAACAAAAGGGCTATACATTATGTTTGCCTCTGGGGGTGTTCTTGAGCCAAAAAGGGGTCCTCCTAAATATTGTCCAGAAATTACCCCATTGGACAGAAAGGGGCACATGCTGAGAAAATAAAGTGGTTGGACTTGCCTTGTTCAATACAGCACATCTCTTTAGCTGTCAACAGTTCTTTTTGTTTTCCGGATTTTTAGAGGCACATTTAAGGCTTGTGTTAGGAGTAACTGTTTCATTAAAGCATTACCTGTCAAGAAAGACACATAAAACACACACACACACACACACACACTAAAATAAGAAAAGTATTTTGTTAATGTTAAGTTTTCAAAGGGAAAACAGCAGTTAATACATCAGGAAACTGCAGTATACTGTATCTCATCAGTATACATAAATATAAGCTATATAATAATAAATAATAATAATAATAATAATAATATCAGTATAACTATTATTCTATTCCAGTTCAACATAGAGTGGGGAAAGTACTGTGACTGGCTCAGAAGAGAAGAATATTCAGGAAGTGACTAGCTAGGAAGTCTAGATGCACCTCTCCCACACTGACCACAACGACCACATATACCTTACTTTAAAACACATGTAACACACATAGAAGGCGCCCACATACACACAGACGCACGCACGCCCCTCACACACACATACATACCGAACACGCACCACACACACACACACACACACACACACACACACACACACACACACACACACACACAGCCCAGCGTGTAGTGGACCTATACATGAGAGCAAAGTGCAGTACCTTCCTTTGAGGAACCCACTGCACTTCTGACTGAGACCTCCAGCCATTACAGACCTGTGTGCTGCTCAACCATTACAAACCATTGGACAGTCGAGAATCTGAATCTCTGTCTTTCAAAGGCGAATGAAACCCATTCATTCTATAGTATATATTTTCTGTACATGCAGTCAATTAGTAAACCAATGCAACACTTGAGCTTGAGTATAATACAAAACATTGAGATTATACATAGATATATTCATATCACAACTGTTTTCAGTTTTCTTACATTGGGTTAAAAAATATTTCAGGGATTGACCAATAGAGCCACACAGTGGAGGTGTCATAATACCCATAAAACCTAGCGGTCAAACAGGGAAATGGTTCCATTCGTTTTTCCACCATTCATTTTTCCCATAGGGGATTTTAGAAACACTTAAAATAAGGGCTGTGTGTACCCTGGCGTGACGTTTTGATAACCATGTAAATCTCTCTAGGACAAGGTGACCTATCAATATATCCGGATCTATTTACTCTCAGATTCGAAAATGCTTATTAGCATCAAAGTAGACATCATGCAAAAACTACAAATCCCTGCCAGCTCCTGCACGTCATCTCTAGCTGACACCTTTGCTAACAGGTATTGTGTCAATTTAAAACTTGCACGAGACAGTTCACAGAATTGCCCATTTAAAAGAAATGTAGCCAATTTATTCATTACTAAATTTAGCAAACATTAGATAGTTAATCCAGAGCACAGGCGGCTGGTGGCAACTTAATTGGGGAGGACGGGCTCATAGTAATGGCTGGAATGGAATAGTATCCAACACATCAATCAAATGGTTTCCATGTGTTTGATGCCATTCCATTCATTCCATTACAGCCATTATTTTGAGACCGTCCTCCCCTCAGCAGCCTCCTGTGATCCAGAGATTCTTACCTTTGCCTCGATTAAGCAGTCTCGTCCAGATCATCATGGCATTTGTAGTTCTTTATGATAGCCACATTAGCAGCTAATTAGCATTTCATTTTTGGGGGGTAAATAGAAGCAAATATATTTATAAAAGTCACCTTGTCTTAGAGAGATTTATATGGTTATCAAAACGTCACGCCATGGTAAGCCTACACGAAACACAGCCCTTATTTTAAGTGTTTCTAAAATCCCCTATGGGGAAAAATTAATGGTGAAAAAACGATTGGAACTATTTCCCTGTTTGACTGCTAGGTTTTATGGGTATTATGACTCATACCGTGGTACTCTACAGGACAGGGCATAATCCACACGTTGCTTAATTCATTAACATCTAACAATGGAATCTGTTTTAGTAGTAACAAGGGTGGGACAAATTTAGAGGTCGAGGGGGGAATCACATTTCATACAGATATTATTATATATTTAAATTAATCCAGATTATATATGGGCCGGTGCTCCAATCCTCAAAATTCCAGAAATGTCCCCATTTTACCCATATCTAATATGTGAGGACCTTAAATCCTTTAGGATAACTTCTCACTCAGTTCCTCTGAGTTCCTCTAATGTCCATCTGCACTGTGCCAGAGGGCGGGGGTCGGGGGTCGGGGACTAGGGAGGGGGTGGACTCCCGCAGGTAATAGGGTTTGTGATGGGTGCTTTTATTTTTTGTAGGTCCCCCCCGTGGCAATTGGTCAGAGCGTTGGGTTAGATTAGGGCGCTCGTCAGTCCCCGAGGATGACCTTGACAAAGCTAGCCACGTCAGTGTCTTTGGAGTCATGGGAGATGAAGAAGGGATGTTGCTGGGATGGAGAGAAGAGAAGAAGACAAGAAGACAATTTAAATGATTTAATCAAATATAACATTAAAATAATATCCTCAACAACAGTTTGATATATAATCAATAGCGTAGATTGAATAAAAAATATAAATTAAGTGGGGAGATGATCACAAAACATGATGTATCACTGGACTAAGTCTGCCATCTAGTGGTGAACTGATGGTAAATGCAAGAGGACACTTATTATTGAGCATTTCTTAAGAGTAAAAAAAATAAATAAATGTGTGTCTACATAATGGGAGATCTAAGTTCAAAACACACTCACCATGAGTTCTGGGTAGTTTGGCCGCTCTTTGGAATTTTTCTTTAAGCTGAGAATGAAATGGCCAATGAGATAAAAGATTAGATAAGTAATATGTGGTAACGAGTCTCCCACTCCCTATTCAAGGCAGACTGAATGATTGCATCAGCTGCAAGCGGACATGGAACTGTTAACGGGGTTGAAAAGAAGAGTTGAGAAGAAATGAGAGAGAGAGAGAGAGAGAGAGAAGATAGTAGTAAAGTGTTCAGCCTGTGATCTATCCTCCCTTCTGCCATGTGAGAGTAAAGTAGCTCAGGGGTTAAAGCAACAAAAAAAAACATGACTGAAACTTAAGTTGATCTCAGATTGATTGTCTGGGGCCAAGTTAACCTCCCCTTTCATGTAAGAAAGTCATGACCATCATGCTTTTAGGGAAAGAGGCTAATTTTGTACATGTATTAAACTGCAAGATTGCCCAATTCCAGTCCCCTTGCTTAGAGGGTCCGGGGTCCTCCCGGAGATAATTTGAATGTAGAAGGACTGAAAAGCTCAGTTCTGGTGACTTTTTAAAAGGACATTCTACCTCAAAATGTATTAACATAAGAATGACACCATCTAAAATACAACTTCCACCTCCAGAGATGGGCCCAATAACATACTGCTAAAAATGATGGTAAAATTATTTTAACATATTGGAACATGCATATAAAATGTACAAAATATAGCCTGTGTATGGCCTATATTATCAGATGTGCTATTAGCAATAAGAATTATCACCTTTAGCCTAATGTGCAGCATAGTTGGGGTTTATCCATCTGCATTTACCCCATTGGACACATCCTAATAACAACTGCTTTATAAATATGAATATATAATTATTCACTCAAATTTTAATTTTGGGGATTCTATTACAAAGTATGTAATTTCCCTTTTAAGACGCCATTGCCCCTTTAAGAACTCTGTTGTGCAGCTGTGACTAAACCATGCTTGAAACTCTGGTTGTAAAACTCTGGTTGTAAAAAACCTGGAGGGACCCGTCCCGACCCTGACATTAAGGCCTGTTCGTTCATCAAGGGTACAGGGTAGGGCTTGGGTATCACCAAATTGATCACTAACATTTTGAAGCGGAGCCATTTGCTTGTACAGTCATATCTGACTAAGATCATAACATGGTGTCAGAAGTTCTTCAATCTCGTCAAATATAAGATCAGAACGTTATCCGAGTCGACAGGAGAGATTATTTCACCCCAAAAAAATAACTTTCCTTGAGTTGTTGGAGTTTAGAGTGACGAAAATGATCTAACAGCTAACTGCTCTCTCAAGTCTCGTCATTGAGCAGCCCAAGAAATGGAGCCATTGCTATGGATACTCACACCACATCAACCGACTAGCAGCGCGAGCAGTGCAGGTAGCCGAGTGCTATGGATACTCACAACACCTGACTAGCAGCGCGAGCAGCGCAGGGAGCTAGGTTGCTATGGATACTCACACACTCTGACTCGCAAGCGCGAGCAGCCGCAGGGAGCGAGTTGCTATTGGAATACCACCCAACTCTGAACTAGCAAGCGCGAGCAGCGCAGTGAGCGGAGTTGCTATGGTATACTCCACACACTCCGACTAGCAGCGCGAGCAGCGCAGGGAGCGAGTTGCTATGGATACTCACACACTCCTGACTAGCAGCGCGAGCAGCGCAGGGAGCGAGTTGCTATGGATACTCACACACTCTGACTAGCAGCGCGAGCAGCGCAGGGAGCGGTTGCTATGGATACTCACACACTCTGACTAGCAGCGCGAGCAGTGCAGGGAGCGAGTTGCTATGGATACTCACACACTCTGACTAGCAGCGCGAGCAGCGCAGGGAGCGAGTTGCTATGGATACTCACACACTCTGACTAGCAGCGCGAGCAGCGCAGGGAGCGAGTTGCTATGGATACTCACACACTCTGACTAGCAGCGCGAGCAGTGCAGGGAGCGAGTTGCTATGGATACTCACACACTCTGACTAGCAGCGCGAGCAGCGCAGGAGCGAGTGCTATGGATACTCACACACTTGACTAGCGCGGACAGCGCAGGGCTGAGTTGCTATGGATACTCACACACTCTGACTAGCAGGCGAGCAGTGCAGGGAGCGAGTTGCTATGGGATCTCACACCTGAACTAGCAGCGCGAGCAGTGAGGGAGCGAGTCTATGATATACACCTCTGACTAGCAGCGGAGCAGCGAGGGAGCGAGTTGCTAGGGGTACTCAACTTGACTAGCAGCGCGAGCAGGCGGGACGATTGGGCATGGATACTCACACACTTGATAGCAGGCGAGCAGTGCAGGGAGCGATTGCTATGGATACTACACTTGATGCAGGCGAGATGCAGGGCGGTGCTATGGATACTACAATCTGAGCAGCGGCGCGAGCAGTGCAGGGAGCGAGGTATGGACTCACACACTCTGACTAGCAGGCGATCAGTGCGGGGCGAGTTGCTTTGGATACTACACCTTGACTAGCAGCGCGAGCGTGCAGGGAGCGAGTGCTGGAACTCAATCTGCTAGCGCGCGCAGCGCAGGAGCGATTGTTGGACTCACACACTTGACTAGAGCGCAGCGCGCAGGGAGCGGTTGCTATGGAACTCACCACTCTGACTGGGCGCGCGAGCAGTGCAGGGAGCGAGTTGCTATGGGCTACGCAACCTTCGTAGCAGCGCGAGCATGCAGGGACGAGTTGCTGGAACTCACACACTCGATGCAGCGCGAGCATGCAGGAGCGAGTTGCTATGGATACTCAACACTCCGATGCGGAGCAGGCTGGGAGGGCGAGGGCTATGGCTGCTCACCAACTTGTAGCAGCGCGAGCGCGAGGGGCGAGTGCTTGGATACTAACACTCTGAGAGCGAGCAGTGCGGGGCGAGGGACAGGCAGAGCCAGCAGCTAGGTCCTACGAGGGTTATTCTGATTTCCTTTCATTTGGCAGAAGTAATAAGGCCTGGGTAGGGCTCGGGCCTGAACTTTGTGAGCATGGCTGGGGTAGGGCCTGAACTTTGTGAGCATGGCTGGGGTAGGGCCTGAACTTTGTGGGCATGAATGGGGTAGGGCCTGAACTTTGTGGGCATGGCTGGGGTAGGGCCTGAACTTTGTGGGCATGGCTGGGGTAGGGCCTGAACTTTGTGGGCATGGCTGGGGTAGGGCCTGAACTTTGTGGGCATGGCTGGGGTAGGGCCTGAACTTTGGGTAAGGCTTAAAATTCATGCCTGTGCAGGGCTCTAGTATGTATGTGTATGCCTGACATTGTGGGGTGAGGTACGAGTATCCCCACTGCCCCCTTTTACATGTTTATAGACCCCTCTTTCACAGAAGGACAGTCTCCAATCAAGCCAGAGGAGAGGTTTGCACAGGTGTTCCAATTTCCTAATGGTCAGATAAACAGTTGAGTCACCGGAGTATAAAACAATGCTGTTGATCCACTGCTGGAAAGCCCTGCTTTAACATCTGACCTGGCTGAATGAACCACAGCTCTACTGGTAAATGATGACAGAGCCCAGCTAAACATGGCATAAACATCCTGGTAAGAGATGAATGATGAATACCTGCACGCATGAGCAATGCCGGGACTTAAAGATGGTACTTAAAATGTGGATACGCAATGAGCAGTATGTGACCAAATTACCAAAGAGACGTTAGCACTGGCCAAAGATAGCGCACCACATACTGTAGGTAATAGGTTCCATTTTGGACAGACGTAAGACCGTAAAACTAGGGCCTACACTGTACAACACAACAGACCTAGATAACCGATGAGCAAGGTTAAAAATGTTGGGGAAAATGACATTTATCTCTCTGTACCGTAGGCCTACATGCTAAACAAATTCATAACAATTCAGGGTTACGGGAAGGGAAAAACACAACATGAGTACCGTAACTATAAGCCGCGCCTTTTTTCCCATTTTTCGACCCTGCGGCTTATATAACGGTGCGGCTAATCTATGGATTTTTACAGCTAACGGCCACTAGAAGACCTCCTAAATCTATGGATTTTACAGGTTACAGTCCACCAACTTTAACTCTATGGGCTCTATGACCGGTCCGCGCCCCCCACCTTTAAGCGGCGGGCTCCAGCAGGAAAAGCTGGAGGCCGGAAAAGAGTGAGACAGGTAACGCGCAAAAGTAAAAGTGGAACTGAGAGTGGTACGAGAGACAGACAGACAGACATTACGAGAGCGAGACAGTTTGTGCAAAGGACGTTTTCATGCACAATCCATCTCTTTCCCGACAATCCCCTCTGTGCACGAATCCTTACATATGGTAATTAAACATTAAAACACCTGCGGCTTATAGTCCAGTGCGGCTTATACAGTGGGGAAAAAAAGTATTTAGTCAGCCACCAATTGTGCAAGTTCTCCCCTTAAAAAGATGAGAGAGGCCTGTAATTTTCATCATAGGTACACGTCAACTATGACAGACAAAATTAGAAAAAAAAATCCAGAAAATCACATTGTAGGATTTTTTATGAATTTATTTGCAAATTATGGTGGAAAATAAGTATTTGGTCAATAACACAAGTTTCTCAATACTTTGTTATACACCCTTTGTTGGCAATGACACAGGTCAAACGTTTTCTGTAAGTCTTCACAAGGTTTTCACACACTGTTGCTGGTATTTTGGCCCATTCCTCCATGCAGATCTCCTCTAGAGCAGTGATGTTTTGGGGCTGTCACTGGGCAACACAGACTTTCAACTCCCTCCAAAGATTTTCTATGGGGTTGAGATCTGGAGACTGGCTAGGCCACTCCAGGACCTTCAAATGCTTCTTACGAAGCCACTCCTTCGTTGCCCGGGCAGTGTGTTTGGGATCATTGTCATGCTGAAAGACCCAGCCACGTTTCATCTTCAATGCCCTTGCTGATGGAAGGAGGTTTTCACTCAAAATCTCACGATACATGACCCCATTCATTCTTTCCTTTACACGGATCAGTCGTCCTGGTCCCTTTGCAGAAAAACAGCCCCAAAGCATGATGTTTCCACCCCCATGCTTCACAGTAGGTATGGTGTTCTTTGGATGCAACTCAGCATTCTTTGTCCTCCAAACACGACGAGTTGAGTTTTTACCAAAAAGTTATATTTTGGTTTCATCTGACCATATGACATTCTCCCAATCCTCTTCTGGATCATCCAAATGCACACTTCATGCAAACTTCAGACGGGCCTGGACATGTACTGGCTTAAGCAGGGGTACACGTCCTGCACTGCAGGATTTGAGTCCCTGGCGGCGTAGTGTGTTACTGATGGTAGGCTTTGTTACTTTGGTCCCAGCTCTCTGCAGGTCATTCACTAGGTCCCCCCGTGTGGTTCTGGGATTTTTGCTCACCGTTCTTGTGATCATTTTGACCCCACGGGGTGAGATCTTGCGTGGAGCCCCAGATCGAGGGAGATTATCAGTGGTCTTTTATGTCTTCCATTTCCTAATAATTGCTCCCACAGTTGATTTCTTCAAACCAAGCTGCTTACCTATTGCAGATTCAGTCTTCCCAGCCTGGTGCAGGTCTACAATTTTGTTTCTGGTGTCCTTTGACAGCTCTTTGGTCTTGGCCAAAGTGGAGTTTGGAGTGTGACTGTTTGAGGATGTGGACAGGTGTCTTTTATACTGATAACAAGTTCAAACAGGTGCCATTAATACAGGTAACGAGTGGAGGACAGAGGAGCCTCTTAAAGAAGAAGTTACAGGTCTGTGAGAGCCAGAAATCTTGCTTGTTTGTAGGTGACCAAATACTTATTTTCCACCATAATTTGCAAATAAATTCATAAAAAATCCTACAATGTGATTTTCTGGATTTTTTTTCTCCAATTTGTCTGTCATAATTGATGTGTACCTATGATGAAAATTACAGGCCTCTCTCATCTTTTTAAGTGGGAGAACTTGCACAATTGGTGGCTGACTAAATACTTTTTTTCCCCACTGTATATGAACACAGCATTCAATATCATTCAATTTAGCTGCTGCGGCTTATACTCCGGTGCGCCTTATAGTGCGGAAAATACGGTAGATATGAAGTATTGGGTGTGAAGACCTAACAGTGGACATAACAGGCTGGTGAGAGAGAATATTAAGACAGAGGGTAGCTTGTGGAACCCAGGCATAGCATTCTGTCCTGGTCATAAAGGGCTTGTGGTTATTACAACCACGGGGGAAAAATTGTCAAGAGAAATTGTCTGTGGTCTCACTAAGCTCTCTAGATGGTTCCAGGTGCCTGAGGACTAAATTGATGTGGTAGTCTCATGCAAGCTAACTAGAGATGAATTAGTCTGGAGGGTAACTAGATGATGTATAGGTAGCCTGGAGGGCCCAACTAGATGATGTATAGTAGCCTGGAGGACTAACTAATGATGTATAGGTAGCCTGAGGGCTAACTGATGATTATAGTAGCCTGGATGTCTAACTAATTGTATAGTACTTGAGGGATAACTAGTGATGTAAGGTAGCCTGAGGACTAACTGATCGATTACAGGTAGCCTGAGGGACTAACTAGATATGTACATGGTAGCCTGGAGGGACTAACTAGATGATGTCAGTAGCTGGAGGACTAACTAATGATGTACATTAGCCTGGGGACTAACTAGATGAGTATAGGTAGCCTGGAGGGACTAACTAGAATGAGTACAGGTAGCTTGAGGGAAACAGATGATGTACGGTAGCTGGAGGACTAACTAGATATGTACAGGTAGCTGGAGGGACTAACTAATGATGTACAGGTAGCCTGGAGGGACTAACTCATGGCATACAGGTAGCTGGTACCGGGACTAAACTAGATGTTATAGTAAGCCTGGGGACTAACTAGATATGTATAGGAATGCCTGGAGGGCTAACTAGATATGTAAGGTAGCCTGGAGGACTAACTAGATGATTCAGGTAGCCTGGAGGGACTAACTAGATGATGTACAGGTAGCCTGGAGGGACTAACTAGATGATGTACAGGTAGCCTGGAGGGACTAACTAGATGATGTACAGGTAGCCTGGAGGGACTAACTAGATGATGTATAGGTAGCCTGGAGGGACTAACTAGATGATGTATAGGTAGCCTGGAGGGACTAACTAGATGATGTACAGGTAGCCTGGAGGAACTAACTAGATGATGTATAGGTAGCCTGGAGGGACTAACTAGATGATGTACAGGTAGCCTGGAGGGACTAACTAGATGATGATAGGTAGCCTGAGGGACTACTAGATGATGTACGGTAGCTGGAGGGACTAACTAGATGATGTACAGGTAGCCTGGAGGGACTAACTAGATGATGTACAGGTAGCCTGGAGGGACTAACTAGATGATGTTATAGTAGCCTGGAGGGACTAACTGATGATGTATAGGTACCTGGAGGGACCTACTAGATGATGTATAGGGTAGCTGGAGGACTAACTGATGATGTACAGGTGCCTGGAGGGACTACCTCGAATGATGTAACATGTACCTGGAGGGACTAACTAGATGATAGCAGGTAGCCTGGAGGGCTACCTGGATGATGGACAGTACCTGTAGGACTAACTAGATGATGTACAGGTATCCTGGAGGGACTAACTAGATGATGTATCGGTGCCGGAGGGACTAACTAATGATGTTATAGGTAGCCGGAGGACTAACTAGATATGTATGGTAGCCTGGAGGGACTAACTAGATGATGTATAGGTAGCCTGGAGGGACTAACTAGATGATGTATAGGTAGCCTGGAGGGACTAACTAGATGATGTACAGGTAGCCTGGAGGGACTAACTAGATGATGTATAGGTAGCATGGTCCTAGATCTGTTTCTGATGTCTTGCCAACTCCAAATGTCTCTGTCATAACAAGCATAACAATGACCATAGAGTTGGAAAGACAGCTCAAACAGATATGGGACCAGGCTAGCATTATGGGAGAGGAGAACATACCACAGGGAGGTGAAGTCAACGAACTCAGGGGAGAACTGGTCAGCAGGGAGCTGGGGCGACTGATCCTCCACCACCTGCCGCAGCTGCTGGAAGGGCGTGCACCAGGAGTCATAGGGGAACCGCAGGATGGCCAGCTCAATCTGAAAAGGATGGGGGCACAGGATATGACAGGGCACAGGTATTTGACAGGGCACGGGACATGACAGGGCACCGATAGAGGTCAGGCTATGTGAACGCAGCATTGTATTACTGTACATAAAATGCACAAAACTAAATATGTACATAAAAGCCAGAATTTGAGTGGTGTATGACCCTAGACAGTGTTACATTTCTGAAAACTACCACAGGCAGTTGGAGGATCATCATCAAATGTTATTTTGAAACCCAACTGTTCTTGGGTGTGACGCAGTTTAGGATGTGCAAATGAGAGCTAGGAATATTTAACAGCTCTCCTAATAAAATGTCTAGACACCAGTTAGTCTAGAGCAGAGACGTAGTGTGTCATCATCTCTCACTGAGAGAAGGCAGGGCTTTTCTTGAACATGAAGAACATGTTCTACAGTTTTTCACAATTACTGACATGTAATCTAGTAAAAATTCCCTGTTTTAGGTCAGTTAGGATCACCACTTTATTTTAAGAACAGTAGAGAGAATTATTTATTTCAGCTTTTATTTCTTTCATCACATTCCCAGTGGGTCAGAAGTTTACATACACTCAATTAGTATTTGGTAGCATTGCCTTTAAATTGTTTAACTTGGGTCAAACGTTTCGGGTAGCCTTCCACAAGCTTCCCACAATAAGTTGGGTGAATTTTGGCCCATTCCTCCTGACAGAGATGATGTAACTGAGTCAGGTTTGTAGGCCTCCTTGCTCGCACATGCTTTTTCAGTTCTGCCCACAAATGTTCTATAGGATTAAGGTCAGGGCTTTGTGATGGCCACTCCAATACCTTGACTTTGTTGTCCTTAAGCCATTTTGCCACAACGTTGGAAGTATGCTTGGGGTCATTGTCTATTTGGAAGACCCATTTGCGACCAAGCTTTAACTTCCTGACTGATGTCTTGAGATGTTGCTTCAATATATCCACATAATATTCCTTCCTCATGATGCCATCTATTTTGTGAAGTGCACCAGTCCCTCCTGCAGCAAAGCACCCCGACAGCATGATGCTGCCACCCCCGTGCTTCATGGTTGGGATGTTGTTCTTTGGCTTGCAAGCGACCCCCTTTTTCCTCCAAACATAACAAGGGTCATTATGGCCAAACAGTTCTATTTTTGTTTCATCAGACCAGAGGACAGTTGCAAACCGTAGTCTGGCTTTTTTATGGTGGTTTTGGAGCAGTGGCTTCTTCCTTGCTGAGCGGCCTTTCAAGTTATGTCGATATAGGATTCGTTTTACTGTGGATTTAGATACTTTTGTACCTGTTTCCTCCAGCATCTTCACAAGGTCCTTTGCTGTTGTTCTGGGATTGATTTGCACTTTTCGCACCAAAGTACGTTCATCTCTAGGAGACAGAACGCGTCTCCTTCCTGAGCGGTATGACGGCTGCGTGGTCCCATGGTGTTTATACTTGCGTACTATTGTTTGTACAAGCGTTTGGAAATTGCTCCAAAGGATTTAGTTGAACCAGACTTGTGGAGGTCTACAATTGTTTTTCTGAGGTCTTGGCTGATTTCTATTGATTTTCCCATGATGTCAAGCAAAGAGGCGCTGAGTCTGAAGGTAGGCCTTGAAATACATCCACAGGTACACCTCCAATTGACTCAAATGATGTCAATTAGCCTATCAGAAGCTTCTAAAGCCATGAAATAATTTTCTGGAATTTTCCAAGCTGTTTTTAAAGGCACAGTCAACTTAGTGTATGTAAACTTCTGACCCACTGGAATTGTGATACAGTGAATTATAAGTGGTATAATCTGTCAGTAAACAATTGTTGGAAAAATTACTTGTGTCATGCACAAAGTAGATGTCCTAACTGACTTGCCAAAACCATAGTTCGCTAACAAGAAAAATGTGGAGTGGTTGAAAGTTTTAATGACTCCAACCTAAGTGTATGTAAACTTCCGACTTCATCTGTATATGCACAACAATGCATTTCAATTCAATATAACTTTATCAGCCCACTTAGGGCTATTACTAGCAATGTACACAACGTACTGGTTATATAGTGAAGACATCATTCAGGAAAAATAAAATAAAATAATTGATCTGTGGTTACTGTATCTGACCTTACGATATCAGAGGTTGCTAGTTTAATTGATAAATAATATAATAGGCCTACTAGTGTGATAATCATAACAATTTTGATATAATAAATTAATCTGCATAAATAATAATACTTTTTTTAAAAATGTTATATAAAATAGACTCACCATAGTGATTCCTAGACTCCAGATGTCAGACTTGACATTGTAGCCTTTCTGATTAGTCTCTGGGTTGATCCTCTCCGGCTAGGGGACAGAATGACACACACACACAAACACACACAGAGAAGGAGACACGGGTGACATCACTTTAGCATCGCTAACTGACATTAGTTGTCCTAGACGACCCAACCTCACCCCGTCATCTGTACCTCTTGAACACACACATCCCTAGTCTGTTCTCTGAGTGCTACCATAGCCCTAAAAACGGCCTCAGCCAATCCAAGGCTCTGTGGACACACTGTTTGGGCACACTGGGGTTATTAAAGGGTAGCTAGCATAAACATAACATATGGATTTGCATTAGGATACGCATCAAAAGTCCCAATGCAAAGAGCATCTCACTTTTTTTATTTTTCAAGTTCTTACATAAAACCGATCAGAAGTCATGTCGGAAAATGTTTTTCCGACATGTGATGTAATATGGAGGACCCGGCAAGCCAGCCTAATCCCCATAATGTAAACAGATATAACATCAAATGTATAACTTCAACTGAAACCAAATTGTTTGCACTGATGACTACTGGTTTCAATTTCATTACAAGCAAATACTTTAGGAATTTATTGTTACAAATCAACTTGCAAGGTTGCTAGCCAACTAGCCTGCTAACGTTAGCCCTGCTAGCCTGCAAACGTTATGTTAGCAGTGCATGAGTCAGCCAGTTGCTATCAACACCCAACTTACTGCTACATTAAAGTAAACCAACGTTTTGGAAATACATAACACCATCTAACCAGCTATCAAAGAATGTTAGCTATATGCAGTTATCTTAGCCAGCCAGCCATTAGATATTTAGCCAACTAGCTATTAGCCTAGCCAGCCTAGCCAACCACCACGGTTACGGTCAGCAAGCTAGAGCCCAACTACTGGAGACCAGCTAGAACAACAACTAACACTTACAAAACATTAACACAGATTAAAAGCAAAGAGAGAGAGCTAACTAAAATGTAATGAGATTGTAGAGCAGATTAACAGATTGATCCCATGATAAAACCTTTAAGAGTGCAGGCTGAGTTAGCTACCAAAGCGAGGGGGAGGCGGGTGCTTCGCCGGGCCAAGGGAGAGTCGGGGAATTCCAAAATAGATAAGATTCCAGATGTACGTCAGCTAGCGCGCTAGCACTGAGCCAAGGTGGAAAAAGTTACCAAACTCCCGTAGCCTACTTCACAGAGAACATGCCGAGAAGTTGACAAAACTAAAAGGAGAACAGACGAGGTTCTACACAATTAGAGCAGGTATGATTTTCTGTTTCGTTTTGAGCCCACAGCAAGAAGGTACCAGAGTTAACAGGTTCCCACTAGATATTAACACAGCCACAAAGTCTGTGAAGAGCATGATGCATTGACGCACACGCCCCATCTGCTCCTTGTTTACATCACACTTCCTCGTGATTGGTGGACCCTACTTTACACAGGAAGCGGCACAGGTCCTAATCCAGGCACTTGTCATCACCCGTCTGGATTACTGCAACTCGCTGTTGGCTGGGCTCCCTGCCTGCAGCCCGTCTGGTGTTCGACCTTCGCAAGTTCTCTCATGTCACCCCGCTCCTCCGCACACTACAAGACCATGGTGCTTGCCTACGGAGCTGTGAGGGGAACGGCACCTCCTTACCTTCTGGCTCTGATCAGACCCTACACCCAAACGAGGGCACTACACCTCTGGCCTGCTAGCTTCCCTACTTCCACGGAAGCACAGTTTCCGCTCAGCCCAGTCAAAGCTATTCGTGCTCTGGCACCCCAATAGTGGAACAGGCTCCCCCACGACAGCGGAGTCACTGACCACCTTACGGAGACACTTGAAATCCTACCTCTTTCAGGAATACCTGGAATAGTTTAAAGTAATCATTCTTCCCCCACCCCCCATAAAAAAATAAATTTAAAAAAAGGTGGTTGTCCCACTGGCTATCATAAAGTGAATGCACCAATTTGTAAGTCGCTCTGGATAAGAGCGTCTGCTAAATGATGTAAATGTAAATGTGGATTGTAGCTCACCACTGCCAACACTGCTAAATTTGCACACTGTATATTAATTGTATTCTGTTGTATATATTTTTTTGATTTTGTTTTTGTTTTACCCCATATGTAACTCTGTGTTGTTGTTTTATCGCACTGCTTTGTTTATCTTGGCCAGGTCGCAGTTGTAAATGAGAACTTGTTCTCAACTGGTTTACCTGGTTAAATAAAGGTGAAATAAATAAAAAAAATTAGAAGATATTCGGAAATAAGTTCATAAATATGTAACAACCCAAAAACATAACTATATTTGTACTTATAGGAAACCAGATCGTGACTACAACTAAGTTACTAAGTCTTTGACCACACGGTGTTGTTACATTGGTGAGAAAAAAAACGAATGCTTTCGACCCTTTGGGGGCATGGCTATTGACATAACATAGAGACCTGTAGCACTTAAACATAGGGAGCAAGCGGCCAACTCAGCTCAGCTCAGTCAAACTTGTATGTGAATTAATTAGCATTAACAAATCCAATCACATTATATATTTGTCACATGCGCCGAATACAACGGGTACGGACTTGACCGTGAAATGCTTGCTTACGATCCCTTCCCAATGGTGCAGAGTAAAAAAATTACAATACAAATAAAAAATAGTAACATGAGGAATAAAATAAACAAGAGTAGAGCCATATACAGGGAGTAGCAGTAACATATCAATGTGCATGGGTATGAGATACTTTGTGTATCATATCGCTCTTCTGAACAGTTATTCACTGAGCCAGCTTAAACCTAACTCCATTACTGTTTGATTTTACTGAGTAGATTTCACTGATATAGATCTATTTTTGTCCATTTTAAAACCCAGAAACCTCTCCTACTACCCACAACCACCCACACAACCACTCACCGCCATGTAGGGCTTGCAGCCTGCGTCCACGGTCTTGGCCAGAGAGTCCACCAGGTAACCACTGATCCCAAAGTCACACATCTTCACCTGGCCCTGGGTGTTGATCAATATGTTGGATGGCTTCACATCTTAGGTAGGAGAGAGAGAGAGAGAGAGAGAAGGAGAAGGAGAGAGAGAGAAAGAGAGAGAGAGAGAGAGAAGAGGAGAAGGGAGAGAGAAGGAGAGAGGAGGAGAGGAGAGAGAGAGAAGAGAGAAGGAGAGAGAGAGAGATAAAGAGAATAGAGAGATGAGGAGAGGAGAGTAGAGCGAGAAGAGAGGATAGAGCTAGGCTCAGATGCTTACGATCACGAGATAGAGACTCTGCGATAGCAGCCTTAGAGATGACGCGTAGAGAAATTCGATACCTCAATGTCAAAAAATGCTTACTGACTGACTTCTCCTCTCTCTTCTCTCTCCTCTCCTGTCCTCTTCTCCTCTCTCCTTCTGAAGAGCTCTCTTCCAGCGAACAACCCACAACCGAGAAATAGTGGAGAGAGAGCGGCGTGAGATGGAAGTGAAAGAGAAACAGGGTCATCACCGATTTTGGAGTCAGATAGTCCAATACAGACTTACAAGGTATATTATAGTATATTATGTATAATCTTTTAAAGTGGTTTCCTTAGCCTCAGCAACATAACTATGAAGCAGTGTATCTGTCTCGCTCAACACAGCCCTCGAAACACATCTGTAAAAATGGAATGTAAAATGTTGTTTCAAGTAACGTCTTTGTTGTTGTAATATCGCAAACGGACGAGGCAGGTTCACCGCTAAAGCTTCCAGATTTAAAGGATGGACCACTAGTGCAAACTGTTTCAAAAGGTGTACCCTATAGAGACATACATACTATACCTAATGTAAAATGTTGTATTTAACTCTGCGGTTGTTCTTACCTCGGTGGATTACTGACAGATTGCTGTGCAGATGTTCCAGAGCCTTCACTGTCTGTAATGCGAGAGGTTAAAGGTTAGAACATAAGACCAGAACACAGACACATCAGCAGCTGGACAAGGATATCAATATGGGGAATGCATGTCCAACTTCCCAGACATCCCCATATGGTTGCATCTATTATTTATTAATTCTTAGTATATTAAAACATCTAGCATGAATTCAGTAATTTAGTTAACAACATGTATACCCATGTACAGTCATCGCCTCTTGGTCTAGAGACCGGCGAGACGTTAATATACTGAACAAAAAATATAAAAACGCAACATGTAAAGTGCTGGTCCCATGTTTCATGAGCTGAAATAAAAAGATCCCAGAACTTTTCCATACGCACAAAAAGCTTATTTCTCTCAAATGTTGTGCACAAATTGTTAGTGAGCATTTCACCTTTGCCAAAATAATCCATCCACCTGACAGGTGTGGCATATCAAGAAGCTGATTAAAACAGCATGATCATTACACAGGTGCACCTTGTGCTGGGGACAATAAAAGGCCACAAAAATGTGCAGTTGTCACACAACAAGGTATATTACAGTATATTATGTATCTCTTTAATGGAATCCTTTCCAACATAATCCAGGTAGAATCAGGAATTCCCCAGGGCAGCTGTTTACTAACGACATGCCACTGGCTTTGAGTAAAGCCAGTGTGTCTATGTATGCGGATGACTCAACACTACACACGTCAGCTACTACAGCGACTGAAATGACTGCAACACTTAAAGAGCTGCAGTTAGTTTCAGAATGGGTGGCAAGGAATAAGTTAGTCCTAAATATTTCAAAAACTAAAAGCATTGTATTTGGGACAAATCATTCACTAAACCCTAAACCTCAACTAAATCTTGTAATGAATAATGTCGAAATTGAGCAAGTTGAGGTGACTAAACTGCTCGGAGTAACCCTGGATTGTAAACTGTCATGGTCAAAACATATTGATACAACAGCAGCTAAGATGGGGAGAAGTCTGTCCATAATAAAGCGCTGCTCTGCCTTCTTAACAACACTATCAACAAGGCATGTCCTACAGGCCCTAGTTTTGTCGCCCCTGGACTACTGTTCAGTCGTGTGGTCAGGTGACACAAAAAGGGACATAGGAAAATTACAATTGGCTCAGAACAGGGCAGCACAGCTGGTCCTTAAATGTACACGGGGAGCTAACAATCATATGCATGTCAATCTCTCATGGCTCAAAATGGAAGAGAGATTTACTTCATCACTACTTGTCTTTGTAAGAAGGATTAACAAGCTGAATGTACCGAGGTGTCTTGTCTAAACTACAAGCACACAGATCGGACACCCATGCATAACCCACAAGATATGCCACCAGAGGTCTCTTCACAATCCCCAAGTCCAGACTATGGGAGGCGCACAGTACTACATAGAGCCATGACTACATGGAACTCTATTCCAAATCAGGTAACTGATGCAAGCAGTACAATCAGATCTAAATGTTTTTTACAGTTCAAAATACACCTTATGGAACAGAGGGGACTGTAAAGAGACACACACACGTACAGACACACTCATACAAGCACACGCACTCTACACACACGTACACATTGTAATATTGTTGTATGGGGGTATTATAAATGTTGTATTGTAGATATGTAGTGGAGTAATAATGTTATATGATATACTGTTGTTTGTTTTGTTTTATATGTAATGTAAGTGTCTTAATGTGTTTGGACCCCAGGAAGAGTAGCTGCTGCCTTGGCATCCGTAATAAATCTGAATAAACATGCGCAAAAAAAGAAACGTCCCTTTTTCAGGACCCTGTCTTTCAAAAATAATTTGTAAAAATCCAAATAACTTCACAGATCTTCATTGTAAAGGGTTTAAACACTGTTTCCCATGCTTGTTCAATGAACCATAAACAATTAATGAACATGCACATGTGGAACGGTCGTTAAGACACTAACAGCTTACAGACGGTAGGCAATTAAGGTCACAGTTATGAAAACTTAGGACACTAAAGAGGCCTTTCTACTGACTCTGAAAAACACCAAAAGAAAGATGCCCAGGGTCCCTGCTCATTTGCGTGAACGTGCCTTAGGCATGCTGCAAGGAGGTATGAGGACTGCAGATGTGGCCAGGGCAATAAATTGCAATGTCCGTACTGTGAGACGCCTAAGACAGCGCTACAGGGAGACAGGATGGACAGCTGATCGTCCTCGCAGTGGCAGACCACGTGTAACAACACCTGCACAGGATCGGTACATCCGAACATCACACCTGCGGGACAGGTACAGGATGGCAACAACAACAGCCCGAGTTACACCAGGAACGCACAATCCCTCCATCAGTGCTCAGACTGTCCGCAATAGGCTGAGAGAGGCTGGACTGAGGGCTTGTAGGCCTGTTGTAAGGCAGGTCCTCACCAGACATCACCGGCAACAATGTCGCCTATGGGCACAAACCCACCGTCGCTGGACCACACAGGACTGGCAAAAAGTGCTCTTCACTGACGAGTCGCGGTTTTGTCTCACCAAGGGTGATGGTAGGATTCGCGTTTATCGTCGAAGGAATGAGCATTACACAGAGGCCTGTACTCTGGAGCGGGATCGATTTGGAGGTGGAGGGTCCGTCATGGTCTGGGGCGGTGTATCACAGCATCATCGGACTGAGATTGTTATCATTGCAGGCAATCTCAACGCTGTGCTTTACAGGGAAGACATCCTCCTCCCTCATGTGGTACCCTTCCTGCAGGCTCATCCTGACATGACCCTCCAGCATGACAATGCCACCAGCCATACTGCTCGTTCTGTGCGTGATTTCCTGCAAGACAGGCATGTCAGTGTTCTGCCATGGCCAGCGAAGAGCCCGGATCTCAATCCCATTGAGCACGTCTGGGACCTGTTGGATTGGAGGGTGAGGGCTAAGGCCATTCCCCCCAGAAATGTCAGGGAACTTGCAGGTGCCTTGGTGGAAGAGTGGGGTAACATCTCACAGCAAGAACTGGCAAATCTGGTGCAGTCCATGAGGAGGAGATGCACTGCAGTACTTAATGCAGCTGGTAGCCACACCAGATACGGACTGTTACTTTTGATTTTGACCCCCCCCCCCCCCCCCCCCCCCTTTGTTCAGGGACACATTATTCAATTTCTGTTAGTCACATGTCTGTGGAACTTGTTCAGTTCCTGTCTCAGTTGTTGAATCTTGTTATGTTCATACAAATATTTACACTTGTTAAGTTTGCTGAAAATAAACGCAGTTGACAGTGAGAGGACGTTTCTTTTTTTGCTGAGTTTACAAACAATGCCACAGATGTCTCAAACTTTGAGGGAGCATGCAATTGGCATGCTGACTGCAGGAATGTCCACCAGAGCTGTTGCCAGATAATTTAATGTTCATTTCCCTAACATAAGCCGCCTCCAATGTAGTTTTAGAGAATTTGAGAGTACATCCAACCGGCCTCATAACCGCAGACCACGTGTAACCACGCCAGCCCAGGACCTCCACATCCAGCAAACCGGATGGACATCATGAAAATGATCGGAGAGGTTGAGGGTAGAGGAAGTTCAGGAGTAAAAACAAACGAAATAAAACTATTGTTTTAATTGACTGTGTCCATAAAATGTATATAGTACGTATAAGCTGGAAGTATTGGTCTAAGCGTTGTTGTTCACGAGTTTACTCCAATTAGGGGAGGGGTGGTGGGGTTGGAAAGTAATAAAGGAAAATATATTTCTAAAAAGGATGTGTGTGTATATATATACACACACACACACACACACACACACACACAACCGTTCAAAAGTTTGGGGTCACTTAGAAATGTCCTTGACCCAAGTTAAACAATTTAAAAGGCAATGCTACCAAATACTAATTGAATGTATGTAAACTTCTGACCCACTGGGAATGTGATGAAATAAATAAAAGCTGAAATAAATCAATCATTCTCTCTACTATTATTCTGACATTTCACATTCTTAAAATAAAGTGGTGATCCTGGACATGGAATTGTTCCTAGGATTAAATATCAGGAATTGCGAAAGACTGAGTTTAAATGTATTTGGCTATGGTGTATGTAAACTTCCGACTTCAACTGTATGTACGTATATATATATATATATATATATATATATATATATATATATATATATATATATATATATATATATATATATATATATATATATATATATATATACACATACACACACACACAAACATACAGTGGGGAGAACAAGTATTTGATACACTGCCGATTTTGCAGGTTTTCCTACTTACAAAGCATGTAGAGGTCTGTCATTTTTATCATAGGTACACTTCAACTGTGAGAGACGGAATCTAAGACAAAAATCCAGAAAATCACATTGTACGATTTTTAAGTAATTCATTTGCATTTTATTGCATGACATAAGTATTTGATCACCTACCAACCAGTAAGAATTAAGGCTCTCACAGACCTGTTAGTTTTTATTTAAGAAGCCCTCCTGTTCTCCACTCATTACCTGTATTAACTGCACCTGTTTGAACTCGTTACCTGTATAAAAGACACCTGTCCACACATTCAATCAAACAGACTCCAACCTCTCCACAATGGCCAAGACCAGAGAGCTGTGTAAGGACATCAGGGATAATATTGTAGACCTGCACAAGGCTGGGATGGGCTACAGGACAATAGGCAAGCAGCTTGGTGAGAAGGCAACAACTGTTGGCGCAATTATTAGAAAATGGAAGAAGTTCAAGATAACGGTCAATCACCCTCGGTCTGGGGCTCCATGCAAGATCTCACCTCGTGGGGCATCAATGATCATGAGGAAGGTGAGGGATCAGCCCAGAACTACACAGCAGGACCTGGTCAATGACCTGAAGAGAGCTGGGACCACAGTCTCAAAGAAAACCATTAGTAACACACTACGCCGTCATGGATAAAAATCCTGCAGCGCACGCAAGGTCCCCCAGCTCAAGCCAGCGCATGTCCAGGCCCGTCTGAAGTTTGCCAATGACCATCTGGATGATCCAGAGGAGGAATGGGAGAAGGTCATGTGGTCTGATGAGACAAAAATAGAGCTTTTTGGTCTAAACTCCACTTGCCGTGTTTGGAGGAAGAAGAAGGTTGAGTACAACCCCAAGAACACCATCCCAACCGTGAAGCATGGAGGTGGAAACATCATTCTTTGGGGATGCTTTTCTGCAAAGGGGACAGGACGACTGCACCGTATTTAGGGGAGGATGGATGGGGCCATGTATCGCGAGATCTTGGCCAACAACCTCCTTCCCTCAGTAAGAGCATTGAAGATGGGTCGTGGCTGGGTCTTCCAGCATGACAATGACCCGAAACACACAGCCAGGGCAACTAAGGAGTGACTCCGTAAGAAGCATCTCAAGGTCCTGGAGTGGCCTAGCCAGTCTCCAGACCTGAACCCAATAGAAAATCTTTGGAGGGAGCTGAAAGTCCGTATTGCCCAGCGACAGCCCCGAAACCTGAAGGATCTGGAGAAGGTCTGTATGGAGGAGTGGGCCAAAATCCCTGCTGCAGTGTGTGCAAACCTGGTCAAGACCTACAGGAAACGTATGATCTCTGTAACTGCAAACAAAGGTTTCTGTACCAAATATTAAGTTCTGCTTTTCTGATGTATCAAATACTTATGTCATGCAATAAAATGCTAATTAATTACTTAAAAATCATACAATGTGATTTTCTGGATTTTTGTTTTAGATTCCGTCTCTCACAGTTGAAGTGTACCTATGATAAAAATGACAGACCTCTACATGCTTTGTAAGTAGGAAACCTGCAAAATCGGCAGTGTATCAAATACTTGTTCTCCCCACTGTATGTGTATATATGTGTATATATTGCTATACACACACATATATGCGGGAAATAATATATGGGGGATTGGAAGTGATGCAGACAATTACATTGATGGAAGTTACAATCTATCTGCAATATTAAAGCTGATCTACCGCCTAAAAAAAAATATAAAAAAAATATGAACAAATATATATATATATTACATTTTTTAAATAATAAAACGGAAAGAAAACCATACGTTTTAGAGAATTTGACATTACATCCAACCGGCCTCACAACCGCAGACCATCTGTAACCACGCCATCTAGGACCTCCACATCCAGCTCGTTCACCTGCAGGATCATCTGAGACCAGCCACCAGGACAGCTGATGAAACTGTGGGTTTGCACAACTGAAGAATTTCTGCACAAGCTGTCAGAAACCGTCTCAGGGAAGCTCATCTGCGTGCTCGTCGTCCTCACCAGGGTCTTGACCTGACCGCAGTTCGTCGTCGTAACCGACTTCAGTAGGGCAAATGCTCACCTTCGATGGCCACTGGCACGCTGGAGAAGTGTGCTCTTCACGGATGAATCCCGGTTTCAACTGTACCGGGCAGATGTGTGGGGGAGCTGTTTGCTGATGTCAACATTGTGAACAGAGTGCTCCATAGTATGTTCTAGTTCCCGCCAATATCCAGTAACTTCGCACAGCCATTGAAGAGGAGTGGGACAACATTCCACAGGCCACAATCAACAGCCTTATCAACTCTATGCAAAGGAGATGTGTCACGCTGCATGAGGCAAATGGTGGTCACGGACTAGTTTTCTGATTCATGCCCCAACCTTTTTTCTAAGGTATCTTTGACCAACATACGCATATCTGTATTCCCAGTCATGTGAAATACATAGATGAAGGCCTACTTATTTCAATTGACTGATTTCCTTATATGAACTATAACTCCGTAAAATCTTTGAAATTGTTGCGTTTACATTTTTGTACAGTGCCTTCAGAAAGTATTCATACCCCTTGACCTATTCCACATTTTGTTGTGCTACAGCCTGAATTCAAAATGGATTAAATATATTATTTTTCTTTACACACAATACCCCATAATGACAAAGTGAAAACATGTTTTTAGACATTTGGGAAAATGAATTGAAATTCAATACAGAAATATCTAATTTACATACGTTTTCATACCACCGGAGTCAATATTTTGTAGAAGCACCTTTGGCGGCGAACACAGCTGTGAGCCTTTCTGGGTAAGTCTCTAGGAGCTTTGCACACCCGGATTGTACAATATTAGCCTATTCTTCTTTTTTTTTTAATTCTTCAAGCTCTGTCAAGATGATTGTTGATCATTGCTAGACAGCCATGCTAGACAGCCATTTTCTTGCCATAGATTTTCAAGCCGAGTTGAGTCAAAACTGTAACTAGTCCACTCAGGAACATTCAATGTCATCTTGGTAAGCAACTCCAGTGTAGATTTGGCCTTGTGTTTTAGGTTATTGTCCTGCTAAAAGCTGAATTAGTCTCCCAGTGTCTGTTGGAAACCAGACCGAATCACTTTCCTCGAGGATTTAGCCATTTATTTTCCTCAACAACAAAAAAACTCCCTAGTCATTGCAGATGACAAGCATACCCATAACATGATGCAGCCACCGCCATGCTGGAAAACATGAAGAGTGGTACTCAGTGATGTGTTGTGTTAGATTTGCCCCAAACATAATGCTTCGTATTCAGGACAAAAAGTTAATTTCTTTGCCACATTCTTTGCAGAATTACTTGCATATCACAACAATTAATCTCTGTAAATATTTTAAAATGACCATTGGCCTCATGTTGAAATCCCTGAGCAGTTTCCTTACTCTCCGGCAACTGAGTTAGGAAGAACGCATGTATCTTTGTAGTGACTGGGTGTATTGATACACCATCCAAAGCCTAATTAATAACTTCACTACGCTCAAAGGGATATTCAGTGTCTGGTTTTTGAATTTTTACTCATCTACCAAATCGGTGCCCTTCTTTGCGAGGCATTGGAAAAACTCCCTGGTCTTTGTGGTTGAATGTAAGTTTGAAATTCACTGCTCGACAGAGGGACCTTACATATACAGTGCCTTGCAAAAGTATTCATCCCCCTTGGCGTATTTCCTATTTTGTTGCATTTCAACCTGTAATTTAAATGGATTTTTATTTGGATTTCATGTAATGGACATACACAAAATAGTCAAATTGGTGAAGTGAAATGAAAAAAATAACTTGTTTCAAGAAAGTCTAAAAAGTACATCACGGAAAAGTGGTGCGTGCATATGTATTCACCCCCTTTGCTATGAAGCCCCTAAATAAGATCTGGTGCAACCAATTACCTTCAGAGGTCACATAATTAGTTAAATAAAGTCCACCTGTGTGCAATCTAAGTGTCACATGATCTCAGTATATATACACACACACCTGTTCTGAAAGGCCCCAGAGTCTGCAACCCACTAAGCAAGGGGCACCACCAAGCAAGCGGCACCATGAAGACCAAGGAGCTCTCCAAACAGGTCAGGGACAAAGTTGTGGAGAAGTACAGATCAGGGTTGGGTTATAAAGAAATATCCGAAACTTTGAACATCCCATGGAGCACCATTAAATTCATTATAAAAAAATGGAAAGAATATGGCACCACAACAAACCTGCCAAGAGAGGGCTGCCCAACAAAACTCACAGACCAGGCAAGGAGGGCATTAATCAGAGGCAACAAAGAGACCAAAGATAACCCTGAAGGAGCTGCAAAGGTATCTGTCCATAGGACAACTTTAAGCCGTATACTCCACAGAGCTGGGCTTTACGGAAGAGTGGCCAGAAAAAAGCCATTGCTTAAAGAAAATAATAAGGAAACACGTTTGGTGTTCACCAAAAGGCATGTGAGAGACTCCCCAAACATATGGAAGAAGGTACTCTGGTCAGATGAGACTAAAATTGAGCTTTTTGGCCATCAAGGAAAACGCTATGTCTGGCGCAAACCCAACACCTCTCATCACCCTGAGAACACCATCCCCAGAAGCATGGTGGTGGCAGCATCATGCTGTGGGGATGCTTTTCATCGGCAGGGACTGGGAAACTGGTCAGAACTGAAGGAATGATGGATGGTGCTAAATACAGAGAAATTATTGGAGGGAAACCTGTTTCAGTCTTCCAGAGATTTGAGACTGGGACGGAGGTTCACCTTCCAGCAGGACAATGACCCTAAGCATACTGCTAAAGCAACACTTGAGTAGTTTAAGGGGAAACATTTAAATATCTTGGAATGGCCTAGTCAAAGCTCAGACCTCAATCCAATTGAGAATCTGTGGTATGACTTAAAGATTGCTGTACACCATCGGAACCCATCCAACTTGAAGGAGCTGGAGCAGTTTTGCCTTGAAGAGACTTGCAGCTGTACCCCAAGATTGCTGTACGGCCATCTTTCCCAGGATGTCTTCAGGGATGGTCATGCCTTACCCCAAGAGACTTTCAGCCGTAATTTCTGCAAAAGGTGGCTCTACAAAGTACTGACTTTGGGGGGGGGGGGGGTGAATAGTTATGTACGCTCAAGTTCTGTTTTTTTGTCTTATTTCTTGTTGTTTCACCCCAAAAAATATTTTTGCATCTTCAAAGTGGTAGGCATGTTGTAAATCAAATGATACAAACCCCCCAAAAATCAATTTTAATTCCAGGTTATAAGGCAACAAAATAGGAAAAATGCCAAGGGGGGTGAATACTTTTGCAAGCCACTGTAATTGTATGTGTGGGGTAAGATGGGGTAGTCATTCAAACATCACGTTAACACTATTATTGAACACGGTATGAGTCCATGCAACTTATTATGCGATTTGATAAGGACATTTTTACTCTTGAACTTGTTTAGGCTTACCATAACAAAGGGGACATTTCAGCTTTTCATTTTTGTATGAATTAGTACAAAAAAATTTGGAAAACATAATTACACTTTGACATTATGGGGTATTGTGTGGAGACCAGTGGCAAAACAAAATCTAATTTAATCCATTTTAAATTTGGGCTGTAACACAACAAAAATGTGGAAAAGTTCAAGGGCGTGAATACTTTCTGAAGGCAAGAATACTTTTCCTACATTAGGAAAATTTGGCGTCAGACAAGTGACCATGAAGACTTTTTAATTTATCTGACATTTGAGAATTTTACCGTTACCGGTCATCCATTATACACTGGGTGAGGAACCCATTACGCAGTCCACCCACGCAGTCAGCACCATCAATAAACAAGGGATATTAGCCAAATGAGCCACATTTACGTGTCCTTAAAAACAGCCTATAACTAATTACAAAAAAATAATAAAAAACGAGTGTTTAGATGTGTAGTATATGCAAATCTTTATAGCCTATTGTTTTATTGGTTTCTATTTTCCTAAAACAATAAATAATCCACCTCATGGTTCAGCTGTCGGAGATTTATTGATATAAATATCTATTGATATAGGCCTCCAATGTATTCTATTAATATAAAATATATATATATATAAAAGGAAGAGAGAGAGAGAGAGACAGAGAGACAGAGAGCGCATCCCCCGGCGCACCGTTAAATCCATTATAAATAAATCGAAAGAAATGGCACAACCGCGACTCTGCCTAGAGAAGGCCATCCACCGAAACTCAGTGACCGGGTAAGGAGGGCATTAGTCAGAGAAGCAACCAAGAGGCCAATGGTAACTGTGAAGGAGCTGGAGAGATCCACAGCTGAGACGGGAGAAACTGTCCATGGGACAACTAGTACCCAGGTGCTTCACAAAGCTGGGCTTTATGGAAGAGTGCTGAGAAGAAAGCCATTGCTGTAAAAAAAAAAAACATATCAAATCCTGTTTGGATTTTTGCCAAAAGACATGTGGGAGACATAGCAAACATGTGGAAAAGGGTTATCTGGTCAAAGCCAAGACTGCTCATCGCCCTGAGAACACCATCCCCATGGTGAAGCATGGTGGTGGCAGCATCATGTTATGGGGATGCTTTTCATCGGCAGGGACTGGGAAACTGGTCAGGATTGAGGGCACGATGGATGGAGCCAAATCCACAGAAACCTGTTTCAGTCTGCAAGAGACCTGCGATTGGGGCAGAGGTTCACCTTCCAGCAGGATAATGACCCTAAACACACAGCCAAAGCTACACTGGAGTGGTTTAAAAACAACAACCTGAATGTCTTAGAATAGCCCAGTCAATGCCCAGACCTCTATCCAACTGAGAATTTGTGGCAAGACTGGAAAATTGCTGTTCACCAATGGTCCACATCCAACTTGACTAAGCTTGATCAACTTTGTCAAGAAGAATGGACCAAATATTGCAGGATCCAGGAGTGCAAAGCTGATAGAGACTTACCCAAAAAGACTCACAGCTGTAATTGCTGCCAAAGGTGCTTCTACCAAGTATTGACTCTGGGGGGTGAATACTTATGCAACCAACACATGTATTTATTTTTTTTTGTATAAACTTTTGTCACAAAAAAATCTTTGCACCTTAAAAAAGGTGTTAAGTATGTTGTGTAAATCAAATGTTAAAAATACCAATTAAATCCTTTTTAATTCCAGGTTTTAACACAACAAAAAGGGGGGTGAATACTTACTTGTGCAAGGCAGGAGGCTAATTTGTTAATTTTCAATTAGAATATTTTTTATAAAGATAAGTATTATATTGTTAGATTATAGGAGTAAATCCGGTAGGCCTAAAAACATTCTTCCTCACCTGAAGTTCAACTGTCGGTTGGAGTCAGTTGTAGCGCCGGGGTGCACTGCCTTCATATCATAGGCCTGCAGTATAATATGCTAATAGCCACACCACACCAAACCTTCACAAACGTTTCTTAACTTTATCAGGATAATATCAAAAAGTAAGTCAAGCTATTGTTTATAGGGAAAATATGAGCAGGATATTATATTGTGGCAAACACAACATTACAGTTGGAACTTACTTTGGCCAAAGAAAATGCCTCAAAAGACCTGAACAGGCTATATTGCTGCTATTACCAAGAAAGGCTAGTGACTACCGTACCCAATAGGCTAATGATAATGTACGTACAGAAAGCTGAGAACATCCTCTCCCCATCTGTGACAACAGGATAGCTGTTTTTTTTTTCCAGCAATTGGAACAGCAATCAGAACACTTTTCTTTCACCTGGAAAATGATTTTTCCCCTGGGAAAAGAGAGAGCGAGCGGCTGCTCAACACAGCAGAAGGCGCCAGCAAAACAGGTACAGGGGCATGCAGGCCCACACTTCTACTACAGGAATCATGAGGATACTTTACTGTTTGACCAAATCATGGTTTTAGCCTCCTAAAAAAAAAAGAGGATGTTTTTTGTGAGGTGAATGAATGTGCAGCCCGCACCGATGCGAACACATTTTTTATTGTACTTGCACAGCCAAGTCTAAGGGTCGCAAAATGCGACTAAAATGCCCTGCATTGTAGGCTTTCACTATAGGCATACCCTCTAACTTTCAATGAAAAAGGCCTCCATCTTCGCAATCAACAGTAGCCTAGGCCAAGGCTCCTCTCTCGCTTTCTCTCTCTCTCTCCTCAGCAGCTGGACAGCCCTGGACAATTTGGCCGGCTACAATTCTATTCATCAGCTTTTCATTTATTTTATCGGCCCAAAAGCCGGCAATTACCAGCTAACGGAATCCCTGTCCTACACATAACACATGTAATATTCCTCTTGGTCTCTAGGGTGACTGATGTAACATAGTTAGTCCTATTTACATGAGGAAACGGCGTAAAGAAGTAGTCCTACTCACCGAGACGGCCATCTTTCCCAGGATGTCTTCAGGGATGGTCATGCCTTTATCGATCACCTGCTTGTAAAACTTATCCAGAGAGGTGTCCATCAGCTCCATACAGATCCACACATCACCCTGGGAACACAGGTAAAACATGGGAAGGTCAGATTGGGGTGAGAGTTTAGGGGTTAAGGGGGTGAGGGGGAGGTACCGGGATGGAGAGAGGGGTAGAGGGATGTAGGAGAACGGTATTGGGAACGGAAAAATTGGGCTATAGAGAGAGCGGTAGAGGGAAGGATTGGAAAAACAGAACCACATTCCAGAGACACAGATTGGCTAACAGGAAGGAGCTTTTTCCAATGTGGTCCACTGCGGAGGGATATCCTGTGGAACGCTCTCTTCAAGCGGTAGGTAACTACATCCGGTATCAGGAATTCTTTATTTGTTTCTCTTGACTACAACATACAAGGTTCTATCAACTGACATCTCGACATAAGGAAAATAGCTCATGGTACTTGTCTGTCTGGATGGCAGCCCAGTCCTACAGTACAATGTCTTGTGTAAATCAGGAAGTCTTATGTTCCAGATACACTACATGACCAAAAGTATGTGGACACCTCCTCGTCGAACATCTCATTCCAAAATCATGGGCATTAAAATGGAGTTGGTCCCCCCTCTGCTGCTATAACAGCCTCCACTCTTCTGGGAAGTCTTTCCACTAGATGTTGGAACATTGCCGCGGGGACTTGCTTCCATTCAGCCACAAGAGCATTAGTTAGGCCTGGCTCGCAGCCGGCGTTCCAATTCATCACAAAGGTGTTCGATGGGGTTGAGGTCAGGGCTCTGTGCAGGCCAGTTAAGTTCTTCCACACTGATCTTGACAAACCATTTCTGTATGGACCTCACTTTGTGCACGGGGGCATTGGCATGCTGAAACAGGAAACGGCCTTCCCCAAACTGTTGCCACAAAGTTGGAAGAACAGAATCATCTAGCATGTCATTGTATGCTGTAGCGTTAAGATTTCCCTTCACTGGAACTAAGGGGCCTAGCCAGGACCATGAAAAACAGCCCCAGACCATTATTCCTCCTCCACCGAACTTTACAGTTGGCACTATGCATTCGGGCAGGTAGCGTTCTCCTGGCATCCACCAAACCCAAATTTGTCCTTCAGACTGCCAGATGGTGAAGCGTGATTCATCACTCCTGAGAACGCGTTTCCACTGCTCCAGAGTCCAATGGCGGCGAGCTTTACACCACTCCAGCCGACGCTTGGCATTGCGCATGGTAATCTTAGGCTTGTGTGCGTGCGCCTGCTCGGCCATGGAAACCCATTTCATGAAGCTCCCGACAAACAGTTATTGTACTGATGTTGCTTCCAGAGGAAGTTTGGAACTCGGTAGTGAGTGTTGCAACCGAGGACAGATGATTTTATTGCACATTGCGCTTCGGCACTCGGCGGTCCCGTTCTGTGAGATTGTGTGGCCTACCACTTCACAGCTGAGATGTTGTTGCACCTAGACGTTTCCACTTCACAATAACAGCACTTACAGTTGACCGGGGCAGCTCTAGCAGGGCAGAAATTTGACAAACTGACTTGTTGTAAAGGTGGCATCTTATGAAGGTGCCACGTTGAAAGTCACTGAGCTCTTCAGTAAGGCCATTCTACTGCCAATGTTTGTCTATGGAGATTGCATGGCTGTGTGCTCGATTCTATACACCTGTCAGCAACGGGTGTGGCTGAAATAGCCGAATCCACTAATTTGAAGGGGTGTCCACATATTTTTGTTGATATGAAGACGACAAAGTAAGTTGCTAATAACTGCTTCTCTGAACATACAGATGAGTCAAATATATAGGCACCCATGCATGATTCACAATTTCTTCTAAAATAAGTTGACATTTAAAAAAAACTTTTGGTGTTCACATTTTGTTTGATTTACAACTGATCAAAACTGAAATTAAGATTTTGCACTTCATAGTCAAAAATGGCCTGGACTAAATTATTCAAAAATCGGATTATTTTGGTTGGAGACGGAGTGATCCTTGGAAAGTGTAATGTATCCTCCTCTTTGTATGTTGCAGGTGCCTACTGGGTAAAAATAGCCATCCAACTAGTTTTGAAAAGATAAAAAAACTGTTGCACTCCATTGTAAAGTGTAAGGGTGCCAATATATTTGACAGCATCTTTACAAGGCTCTGTCCTCCGACATCTATGTAATGACATTGTTCAACATAGTAATGAACTAGATCAGCAGTAGAGGAAACCCAAGAAGAGTAGCTGTTGTGATTTTAACAACTTATGGGGATCCAAATACACTAAAACAATTAATAAACAATTAAAATAAGCTACACCTAAAGGTTGTTGATTGTAAAGCGTCTTTGGGTTTTAGAAAAACACTACATAAGACTTAAGTATTAAATATTATTTTATTTTAATGTTTTATTATTTTTTATAAAGAAGCTGGCTACCTCTCTGAAGAGTGCGCCGTAGAAGGTGACTGTGTAGAAGCAGTCTACTGTCCTCATAGAGATGTCCAGGTCCATCAACAGTCTCTTCTGTTCCTGGTTGTTCACTGTGGCACGGATCCTCTAGGGTGGGAGAGAAAGGACATCAAATCCATCCATCCATCCATCCAACGTATTACATCAATAGCCGTCACCATGGCTGTGTTTACACAGGCAGCCCAATTCTGATCTCTTGCCCCAATTGTTGGCATAAGAGCTGATCTGATTGGTCAAAAGACCAATTAGTGGGGAAAAGATCAGAATTGGCCTGCCTGTGTAAATAAAGCCAAAGTGCTCACCTATAGTAACTTGACTTAGGCCGCGTTTACACATGCAGCCTAATTTTGATATTTTTCCACTAATTGGTCTTTTGACCTATCATATCAGCTCTTTTGCCAATAATTGGGCAAAAGATCAGAATTGGGATGCCTGTGTAAACATAGCCATAGATCCCCTTAAAGAGAACACCAGTTACAGCATCAAATGTCGCAGACCTTGACTGCCATGATCAGGCCACTGGGCATGTGCCTCATCTTGTCCACCACACCGTACGCCCCTCTCCCCAGCTCGCCAATCTGCTCCAGGTCATCTGCCTTCACCACAAAGTTCTGCTCAGGACAGGCAGAGAGGGAAGAGAGCAGTGTCAGGCTCAAACATTAAACGGGTGACACGATGATGTAATAAGATAAACAAATAAAAAATAAATCACCCTTCCTTCCCTTCTCCCTTACTTCCTTGATGTAATCACTGAACACAAAATTGAGAGGGGTAAAAATATTGAGTCACTAGAAACAGAGAGCGAAAAGCACTAAAAGAAAACCTAGGTCTAATCCCCCAACAACAGTGTCATTCTGGCTGGGGGTATTCCTCTTTGTCTGAGAGTGCTGCCTCAGCTCGGAGCTGTCTTTATTCAAACAACTCCTCCAACAAACAGCTGTTATCAAGAGGGAAAGCATTGAACATTGAGAACACTAAATATATATAGTCTCTGGTAAGGGGGGCTGAGTCCAAAGACACCGCAAATGACCCTTTTCATCTAAAATAATGGTTTAAGTAAAGAATGGGATCTTCTGTCCTTTTCTCACTTCATACAAGAACAACTAAATCAATGGCTGCCCTGACTTTGACTTCAGGCTAAATTATAAGAGGAAAAAAAGCCGGCATCTTTGCCAATGGAAAATTCCACTTATTTGATCAGTTTAAAATAAATATTTTTACTGCCCGTCAGGCAGTAAAACACATTCCAGTCTGCCTACAATCAGAAGTGTTCAATCCGAGTCGTAATGTTCGCTAGGGCGTTCTATATGGCTCACAGACCCTTAATTGAGCCAAGCTTTCAGCTTTCTGTATCCAGACCACAGAGAGAGGACCTTACTCAACCTAATGCGGCGTTCAGACGAGGGACGCAAAAACCGCCATAGCAGTCGGCATAGTGGGACAAGAAAGCAAGAAAGGCGATGGCAAAAGCAAGCCAGCACGACAGCAAAGATTTTTATAACAAACCCAAGATAGATCAGAGCCTGTCAGTTCCAATGGGAGCAAATGAATCATAGTGGGCAGAACAAGCAAGGAGGTGGGCAGAGCCAAGCATGAGCTAGTGAGATCCTATTGGTGCATTCTAGCATTTATTTGCATATTTCCGTTAGGGAACGCCTACTCTGCGAAGTGCATGTAATAACTCAATTCTCCCTTGCACTCCTTCTAAACAATGCAATTTTTTAAAACTTTGGCAAAATGTAAAGTCTACAAAACACAGTCCACTCTGTTTGTTACAGATTCTAGGTTGGGAAACAAAAACCTGTATGGAGATCAAATGTCTCATCAATGAGAAAATTAGCAGAATGTCGGCCAAAGTCCATCTCGCTCCATCTTCTCCCACTGCCAGCCACTGGGCGTCCTCTCATCAACATATTTGGTAGTGAGTGGAAACGCCAATCGAATGCTTCACATTTATACATCCAGTGAAATATCTGGCTCATTGTTCTATCTGTGATGAATGTATGCGTTGCTATGGTGATTTCAGTAAACAAACAGTGCAAATCAACATCCGGTAGAAAACAACGCTACGGCAGACAGCAAAAGTTGAAATATTTGAACTCTGGCGGCAAGTCCCGTTTACTGTGGCGGCTGATGGCATTACACCGCCAGCCTCAACTGCATTTACCGTCATGCTCTCAATGAAAACAAAGACATCCGGTTTGCAGTCTACCTCGTACCATCTAAAAACTCAGTATACATAAGGTTACAACAACTACACCCAGATGTCAAACCTGAAGTTTATGTGCTTCAGTTTTAAATAAAGGTTTAGTCGAAGGAACGTGTGGGGAAGAACACAGTGGTAGACGAAAGGTAAGAATGTGAGAGACTGGAAAAATACACTGAACAGTTCAGTGAACATGAATAAGATGAGATGTGGTAAATAGTACCTTCTCTCCAATGGTCACACAAGCTTTCGAATCCAAATCTCTTGGGGGTCTGTAAAGTAGTCAGACAGTTGTTAGGATAAAAAAAAAAAACTTTATGTACGAAACGATTTTGTACATCAACTGCATGCATTAATTCATTAAGATTTCAAAATGTTCTGGGGAAAAACTGCATGTAAATGTTTTTTTTTTTACACTGAAACTGTACTCTATCAACAATATTCACTAGCACATTTTTTCCAAAGACATCAGTTTGTGAACCACTTATCGGTGAACGCATCCAAAAGGTAATCTCTAACTAGCCTCCTCTCTCCTCATTAGTCATGGAAGGAAATGCAGCTGTCACTGACATCTTTAGGATCATCAAGTTGATTTAGCAGCATCATATCCGTATTACCATGCCTCATAGAAAAACAGGGTAACACTTTATATTAAAAGGGAAGGTTGCGCAATATATTTCCATAAATCTAACCATGTAGCTTGGTGATATTCCCTCTAAAAACAGTCTTTATGCAAAAGCTTATTAAGAAATAAATAATTATAAACTTATATTTTCGCAATTTGAATTACATTTATCATAAACTCATACCAACAATACATTGAGGCTTTGACGTCAAGAGGAGGGTGCACTGTTTACAGGTAGGCGTGTTTGGTCTATTGGGAAAAAAGTTGGACCGCTTGGGGCAGAATGGTTTCGGGGAAATCCCCGGCGCTTCAGTCTCACTTTGTCCCAAAGGATTACGATGGCTACCAACAGTGGAAGACTAGATTCACCATGAATCTGAGGCTAGTAAAAAGGGGTTCTGTGTCCATATAGACTCCAAGTCCACTGACACGACTGGTGTTACAGCAAGACAGCGGGCAGCTTTGGTGATGGAGGCGAATCAGGTAAGTAGGTACTAGTGCCCAACGCATTTTGTCATGTTATGTTGCTAGTAGATTATAAAAAAACAAAAAAGAAAGCCAGCTATCTACAGTGAGGGAAAAAAGTATTTGATCCCCTGCTGATTTTGTACGTTTGCCCACTGACAAAGAAATGATCAGTCTAGAATTTTAATGGTATGTTTATTTGAACAGTGAGAGACAGAATAACAAAAAAATCCAGAAAAACGCATGTCAAAAATGTTATAAATTGATTTGCATTTTAATGAGGGAAATAAGTATTTGACCCCCTCTCAATCAGAAAGATTTCTGGCTCCCAGGTGTCTTTTATACAGGTAACAAGCTGAGATTAGGAGCACACTCTTAAAGGGAGTGCTCCTAATCTCAGTTGGTTACCTGTATAAAAGACACCTGTCCACAGAAGCAATCAATCAATCAGATTCCAAACTCTCCACCATGGCCAAGACCAAAGAGCTCTCCAAGGATGTCAGGGACAAGATTGTAGACCGACACAAGGCTGGAATGGGCTACAAGACCATCGCCAAGCAGCTTGGTGAGAAGGTGACAACAGTTGGTGCGATTATTCGCAAATGGAAGAAACACAAAAGAACTGTCAATCTCCCTCGGCCTGGGGCTCCATGCAAGATCTCACCTCGTGGAGTTGCAATGATCATGAGAATGGTGAGGAATCAGCCCAGAACTACATGGGAGGATCTTGTCAATGATCTCAAGGCAGCTGGGACCATAGTCACCAAGAAAACAATTGTTAACACACTACGCCGTGAATGACTGAAATTCTGCAGCGCCCGCAAGGTCCCCCTGCTCAAGAAAGCACATATACATGCCCGTCTGAAGTTTGCCAATGAACATCTGAATGATTCAGAGGAGAACTGGGTGAAAGTGTTGTGGTCAGATGAGACCAAAATCGAGCTCTTTGGCATCAACTCAACTCGCCGTGTTTGGAGGAGGAATGCTGCCTATGACCCCAAGAACACCATCCCCACCGTCAAACATGGGGGTGGAAACATTATGCTTTAGGGGTGTTTTTCTGCGAAGGGGACAGGACAACTTCACCGCATCAAAGGGACGATGGACGGGGCCATGTACCGTCAAATTTTGGGTGAGAACCTCCTTCCCTCAGCCAGGGCATTGAAAATGGGTCGTGGATGGGTATTCCAGCATAACAATGACCCAAAACACACGGCCAAGGCAACAAAGGAGTGGCTCAAGAAGAAGCACATTAAGGTCCTGGAGTGGCCTAGCCAGTCTCCAGACCTTAATCCCATAGAAAATCTGTGGAGGGAGCTGAAGGTTCGAGTTGCCAAACGTCAGCCTCGAAACCTTAATGACTTGGAGAATATCTGCAAAGAGGAGTGGGACAAAATCCCTCCTGAGATGTGTGCAATCCTGGTGGCCAACTACAAGAAACATCTGACCTCTGTGATTGCCAACAAGGGTTTTGCCACCAAGTACTAAGTCATGTTTTGCAGAGGGGTCAAATACTTATTTCCCTCATTAAAATGCAAATCAATTTATAACATTTTTGACATGCGTTTTTCTGGATTTTTATGTTGTTATTCTGTCTCTCATTGTTCAAATAAACCTACCATTAAAAGTATAGACTGATCATGTCTTTGTCAGTGGGCAAACGTACAAAATCAGCAGGGGATCAAATACTTTTTTCCCTCACTGTAAGTGCAAAACTAACTGACCTACTCAGATCTAGCATGGTGTTTGGGGATGGAATAAGCTCGTTTGAGCCAGTTTGGGTATAGATGTTCAATGTCTAACGTTCAATGTCTAAAATGCTTAAACCACAACAGGAGACCATTTTTTTTAGGTCTGGGAAAAATCTAAGACATTTCCTTTTTGGGTGTAGATACCCTTTAAAGTGACAATATGTAACTTTTTGGGCGAGACCTTCAAATTCACATAGAAATGTGAGTTATAGATCTGTCATTCTACTTGAAAGCAAGTCTAAGAAGCGGTAGATATGTTCTATGTGCGCTATATCTATCCTTCCCGTTCACCACAGGATTGATGCAAATAATCATTATATAATTCTGCCAGATATGCATAGTCTACTTTGTAGTTAACATTTAATTGAGAAGGTTTTTGGGAAAGCCTTTACATCTACCAGAAGAGGTTGTCATTAGCATCAAGCTGACGTCAACATAGTGGCAGACAAACACGAACACACAGATGGAGGCATTCCCGCTCCCATTGCCTCTTCAGACAGTTGAAGGAAAATACGAATCACTTATGCATTTTGTTAATGTCTTACCATCTTGAGCAAATCATTTAATGCTCTAATAAATGCAATATATTTAGTTGATTTCCTACTAAATGATGGAGTATCCTCCAATTCTGGTTAATCGACCCCAACACTCATACATAACTAGTTCCCGGCTGCGCCTCACAAAATTACAGTTTGAAATGCACCTATTAAGATTTGAATTTTGATCACAATGTGCACATAAGCGCTAGTTGTTTTAACGGAATAGCCTAGTGTTTTAATATTTTTTTTTTTCATGTATTCATTCAGGTTCACAGTGGACACCGAACAGAGGTTCCCGTACCGAATGGTTTGATACAAATACATGTACCATTACTACTTTAGTAACTACATTGAAATTGTATAGTGTTGGAGGTGAGCGTTTTTTGTAATTACACAAGGGGAATAATGCAGTGTCGTTGTAATACAAAGAGCTGTGATATATATGTGGTCCTCTGTAGCTCAACTGGTAGAGCACGGCGCTTGTAACGCCAAGGTAGTGGGTTCGATCCCCGGGACCACCCATACACAAAAATGTATGTACGCATGACTGTAAGTCGCTTTGGATAAAAGCATCTGCTAAATGGTATATTATTATTATTATTATTTATTATTATTATTATATACAGTGCCTTCAGAAAGTATTCACACCCCTTGACTTTTTCCAAATGTTGTTGTGTTACAGCCTGAATTTAAAATAGATTAAAATAGAGATGTGTCACTGGCCTACACACAATACCCCATAATGTCAAAGTGGAATTATGTTTCTCAATTTTTTTAAACAAATTAACAAAAAAATGAAAAGCTGAAATGTCTTGAGCCAATAAGTATTCAGCCCCTTTGTTACGCCAAGCCTAAATAAGTTCAGGAGTAAAAATGTGCTTAACAAGTCACATAATAAGTTGCATGGACTCACTCTGTGTGCAATAAGTGTTTAACATGTTTTTTTGAACGACTACCTCATCTCCACACATAAAATGATCTGTAAGGTCCCTCAGTCAAGCAGTGAATTTTAAACAGATTCAACCACAAAGTCCAGGGAGGTTTTCCAATGCCTCACAAAGAAGGGCACCGATTGGTAGATGGGTAAAAAATTAAAAAAATCAGAGGCTGAATATCCCTTTGAGCATGGTGAAGTTATTAATTACACTTTGGATGGTGTATCAATACACCCAGTTACTCCAAATATACAAGCGTCCTTCCTAACGCAGATGCCAGAGGGGAAGTAAACCGCTCAGGGATTTCACCATGAGGCCAATGGTGACTTTAAAACAGTTACAGAGTTTAATGGCTGTGATAGGAGAAAACTGAGGATGGATCAACAACATTGTAGTTACTCCACAATTCTAACCTAATTTACAGAGTGAAAAGAAGAAAGCCTGTACAGAATACAAATATTACAGAACATGTATCCTGTTTGCAACAAGGCACTATATTAATACTGAAAAAAATTTGACAAAGCACTTAACTTTTTGTCCTGAATACAAAGTGTTATGTTTGGGGCAAATCCAATACAACACATTACTGAGTACCACTCTCCATATTTTCAAGCATAGTGGTGGCTGCATCATGTTATGGGTGTGCTTGTAATTGTTAAGGACTGGGGAGTTCTTCAGGATAAAAAAGAAACAGAATGGAGCTAAGCACAGGCAAAATCCTAGAGGAAAACCTGGTTCAGTCTGCTTTCCACCAGACACTGGGAGATGAATTCCCCTTTCAGCAGGACAATAACCTAAAACACAGGACCAAATCTACACTGGAGTTGGTTACCAAGGAGACAGTGAATGTTCCTGAGTGGCTGAGTTACAGTTGTGACAAATCTACTTGAAAATCTACGGAAAGACCTGAAAATGGTTGTCTAGCAATGATCAACAACCAATTTGACAGAGCTTGAAGAATTTAGAAAATAATAAAAATGGGCAAATGTTGTACAATCCAGGTGCGGAAAGCTCTTAAGAGACTCACCCAGAAAGACTCACAGCTGTTATCGCTGCCAAAGGAGCTTCTACAAAGTATTGACTCAGGGGTGTGAACAGTTATGTAAATGAAATATTTCTGCATTTCATTTTCAATAAATTTGCTAAAATGTCTCAAAACATGTTGTTGTTTTCACTTTGTCATTACGGGGTATTGGGTGTAAATCAATTTTGAACTCTCAGGCTGCAACACAACACAATGTGGAATAAGTCGAGGGGTGTGATTACGTTCTGAAGGCTCCGTAAAGAAGACATTGAAGAGTAAAAATCTTACGCAGCAGCAGGAGACGGCTGCTCAAACACCTCCTTGGAGAGCTTGAGCCCAGGCTTCTTCTTACCTGAAAGGAGAGAAATAACAACAATACCATTATCCACAAACACATACACCTAAAAGATTCACATTCAGAGTTAGAAAGGAGGCACGACCTGAATCAATTGTAAAGTGGAGTTTCTTCCTGAGTTAAAAAAAAAATGTTCCTTCTAAGTCATCTCAGATGTCTTTTAGTGTATTTCCACTGCAGTAGATCCAGACCCTGAGTCCCAACACTTACGGTTGGATGCGGTGAGTGACTCCAGATCCTAATTGAATGTAACAGGCCCTTGCGACCGCAAGCAGCGAGAGGAGATATGTCTGCAGCGTTGGTGGGTTAAGAGTGCTCTACATCTGGGAGGTACTGCGCTGAGCCACTGCAAGGTTTAAACGGCTCCATGCCGACGGAAACAGGGCGTTACGGACACTCCTGAGGGTGTGTGAGTGACAGGTTGCCGTCGCCGACAAAGAGTGTGTGTGCGCGCGTGTGTTCACCAGAGCATCTGGATCACACCTCCCCTAACTGGATCACGGAACCTAGTGCTTCCACACACAGAACCAATAGAAGAAAATAAAAAAACAAGTGGAAACCCCACCCACCTGGTACTCCAGGCAGACTAAAGCAAACGCTCAATATATTTTTTAAAGACCTCTAATATAATTTTAATCCTGCTCACTCACACAGCAGGGCTACACAGACATGCTCACACTTTAAAGATCTATGTACTGACTAGTTGACGCCACCACCTGGCTATGGGCGGAGTTATTTGACTTGTACCAGGAGGAGGGAGGAGGCATATTTTTTATTTATTTAATTCTTATTATTATTTTTTTTTCACCTTTATTTAACCAGGTAAGCCAGTTGAGAACAAGTTCTCATTTACAACTGCGACCTGGCCAAGATAAAGCAAAGCAGTGCGATAAAAACAACAACACAGAGTTACATATGGGGTAAAAAAAACATAAATGTAGAAAGTTATGGAGGTAAGGCAATAAATAGGCTATAGTGCAAATTGCTTATGGTTTGTGGCTTGATCGAAATGTTTGGGAGCGCGAGGAACTGTTTAAAGTAACTGAACATACAGTAGGTATTTGGGAGCTATGCACATTGCACACATACACCCAGCAGTATTTTATGGTAAACACACCTGACAACGCAACTTCTGTGCTATGATGTACTTGCAGGTGCAGTTCTGGTAAGCCATGATGAAACACTCAGTCAACTAGAATCTTTCACATTTTTAAGAAAAGGTATTTCTATTTGATATTTTATTAGGATCCCCATCTATTCTGAGGAAAACATTAAATCCATTACAGCTCGAAAAAAAAAAAAAAACATACTGATCGAAACCTCACAAGCACAGACACACAGTCCAGTGTGCCACCACCACCTCTCTGTGCCGTACGGTCACCGTGGCCTCTCACTGCATGCCTCAGGGTTTCCACTTTCCAAAGCAGCTTTGTTGCACCAAAATGTCACTTTGGGCCCCTCCCACGTGCATTAACACAGACAACAATAGCATCTGCAAACTGACACTAGTCACCTAATAGGCCTAAAATCTATGACTATGTTTGAATGGACATAGACCAAAACGAGTTCCACTCCACCAACTGCAGGTTTCAGACTAAAAATATTATTTCCCTGCTCCATTCAACACCCGGAGTGTATTCAGTGACATGAATTGTTCTGAACACTGCAGATAGAAATACAATTGATAGCGCTGACAAACAATACATTGAACTGAACGCTATGCAATATTACATCCTCTTGGACAAGCTCTTCGAGCTTAGTGATACCCACTGCTCCCTCAAATAGTGCTGTGACATTACAAAGCTTTGCCAAAATAAAGAACTGGTGAGTGGTTAATATCATGGCTGAGCGCCAGGCACCACCTTCACCAAGCTTTTCCCATGACTAGGCCTTTGCATGCCAATACCAGGCAGGCTGGCAAGGAATTCTGCAGGCAGGTTCTCTCCAGTTCATTACAAGGACTTTGCCAAAAACGAAGAACTGGTGGCAGTAGTTATTATGGTTAAGCACCACCAAGCTTTCTCCATGAATATGCATGCCATGCTACTAGGCTGACAGGGGGGATTCAGCAAAACTCCACGGTCCTCAGCCTCCCAGTCTCTGGCTCGATGGGATGGGACAAGACGCAGCACGCTCTGCTCTATGGAGAAGACAACAGCTTCCATCTCCAGTCCACAGAGACCAAACACACACAAATCAATCATGACAGCTCCCTGAGATCCCTGCTGCGTGCACTTTGCACACTGACTTAACATGTTACCTATACTGTAGGCTATACATTCATTCACATTTGCATGCATGGGAGACATGTAAGCATAAGGGCAGCAACTCCTCATCATACAACGAGAGTCATGCACTGAGCTGCACGCCAATAGAATTACCTTTGCATTCGCTCACACAGTCACGCATAGCCAAACGAGTCAAGATGTCGCAAAGTGGAGGAAAATCACAACAAAACGGAACGTGCAGCTGAACAAAAAGAGAGCCATGAGAAAACAAGTTTTGATAAGTCATCGAAATAAAAAAAAGTGCTGAAAACATATTGGCTCACCATTTAAAAATAAGAGATGGAGAACAAGCTACACAAGGAAGAATACCGGAGTCATGGTACAGCTGGGCCAACTAGCGCAATAATAATATTGCGATAGGCCTATATTGTCAAAAATAAATATCTCTATATGTAACTGTTAAATATTTTTTTTCACTAAATCAATAGATTATAGAGTTTACAGTGTACATGGCAGGAATAAGATAATAGGCTGCATTGTCTGTCCTGAGCCAATATAATATTTTCATCTCAAAAACAGGTCTTCTGCAACAGGCCATCCTAACATTATAATTCTTGTGTCATATATTTTCACAACTGTGAGAGGAAATTATGGCAAGCTATGCAAATGCGGTCACTGTTTTAAGTTATGCCACATTATCTTGCACAAATTCAAATAAAATATACAAAGTCTCCCCCTTTAGGCTTTTTCCTCGCTGATCTCAGCATTCAATGCAGCCTGAGCTTTATTTTGCATTGCAACCTAATTAAAAAGTAGTACATCATTCCCAGTTATTTGCAGCACATGGGCTGAAGACAAGTATGTCGTGAGATGCCAGCGAGAGGTCACTGGGGAGAAGAACTCTATATCGGGATGCCTCTCTCGCTCTCTCTCATGATTACAGCCTCTGGGGGTTCATTGGAACATTCACAATTATCACATTCTCCCTCTCCAGATTTTGTGCTCAGGGGTGAAGATAGCAAAACTACAATACCAGAGAGAAGTACCGAAGCCAAGGTAATGGCAAAGAAAAGACAACTGAAGGAGTCTTTGCCCAGCTGTCTTTGCCCCACCTACTGTTAACATGAAATACCACCAAGCAGGTCTAGTAATCTGTTTCCTTCAGCTTTCAACGAAGCCAAGGGAAACATGTCCTGTAAGAGACGGCATGCTAACAGCCAGGGGACTATGCCAGAGTGATCGGTGTTGAAACCAAGGCTGCCTGAGACTGAGTGCTTTGAGCATTGTGAATCTGGAGCAAAAGCTTTGGTGTGAGAGTGCAGCCATGCAGGCCCATGCCTAGCCCCAGCCATGCTGATGATAATCCCAGGGTGGCATTCACAGCAGGCGGAACCAACCAACCCGCTCATTCTTCCAAACCCAAACACACACGCATGCCGGGAATTCCAACAATCCCAAAAGTCCCTCAATGGAATTACACAGACCCAGAGGAAGATGGATGAATCAGACATCCGCAAGAGGGTTGGCGGGAAGGAGAGAGGGAGTGAGGGAAAGAGAGATGGGGGGGGGCAGCCAGGGAGTGGAAAAGAGAGGCAGAGAGGGAGTGAGGGAAAGAGAGATGGGGGGGGGCAGCCAGGGAGTGGAAAAGAGAGACAGAGAGGGAGTGAGGGAAAGAGAGATGGGGGGGCAGCCAGGGAGTGGAAAAGAGAAACAGAGGCAGGGCAGAGAGACAGAGAGAGATGGGATAAAAATAACTCCTCGAGAGGCTGTTATGCCACTTCTGACCGTCCTGGCAGTCTGAGATAGCCTACACTTTCACCGTCCTGGCAGTTTGTGAGATACCCTACACTTTCACCGTCCTGGCAGTTTGTGAGATACCCTACACTTTCAAAAGATGTCAGATAGAAAAAGATCCATTAGGTTACAGCTGTTATATTGTGAAGCTCTTTTGGGAACCATGTCATCACCAGTAGCCACATGGCTATACACTTCCTACATGGCTGGGGTTGACTTAAACCATACTGACGGCAGTGCTCTGCATGCTTAGGGTATCAGCTTCTGTCCTGCCTAAGTAGTGGTTAGCTAGTGGCTAACTTAACATCCATGACTACAACAGGAGATCACTGCTCAACTATGGGGGCATGTGATCTTCATGTCCTATTTAGTACACCTGCAAGAGTACGAAGAATGGGCCAAGGCAATAGTAAGATCAAGTCGATAACTTATAAATGAAGGGAAGCACTGCCATAGCAGTTGTTGGCCTGGTAGCAGCCTAACATGAGCTAGCATTATTTATGAGTCCAAGCGTGGCAGCCTGCTAACTCTCTCATAGCAGATTTCCACAGGATGTAGGCCTACTGGCCTGGTTGATCTGGCCAGGCTTCAGCAGGATGTAGGCCTACTGGCCTGGTTGATCTGGCCAGGCTTCAGCAGGATGTAGGCCTACTGGCCTGGTTGATCTGGCCAGGCTTCAGCATGAGGATTTGGCTGGATGTTAGAGGCTTAGGTGTTATAGTCCAGAAAGAAGAAAACAAAGAATTGGTCCCCGAGATTAGATGACAATCTGTGGAACTGCAGGGCCATTTCTTTCCAGTTACTTCTATGGTGCCAAGTGGACCAGGTGACGTGCTATGTTTTATTCAACACAACACCACACCACACCACAAGTGGTTGGAGAGTCGACAGAGATCTGTTTATGTGACATGTACTCCTCAACCTATAGTGTCCCCACTTGCATCAGCGAATAGTTCGCTTTTCTCATGGCGCAGACTGGTAAGACGTTTCAGGAGGGCGGTCATAGGTGCAAGCAAGGCAGAAGTCCTGGGTTCGAGATTCGGTGTGAGCCGAAGCAGGAAGTGGCGGTACTCGCTAAGGAAGCAGCGTGACATCTTTTACATTTACAAAACCCTAACAGGTGTTGTTAACGGGTGAGTTAGACCACCATTCCTCTTTAGCTGGGTTTCACATAAATAAAGCACTTTTTATTCAAATCCAGGCACTTTCCCAATCACCATTTAAATTTGAAACAAAATGTCTATCTGGAATTAAATTCAAGTCTATTCACCTCCAGACAGCTTGTCTGTCCCACATCCAGAGTACTGTCATAGCATCCCAAATGGCACCCTATTCCCTATATAGTACACAGATTGTCCATAAGTAGTGCACTATGTAGGAAAAAGGGTGCCATTTGGGATGCAGTTACTGTCGGCTAGCATGCCATGCACTCTCTCGGTGGTAACCGGAGAGCAGTAATTTGCAGGAGGAGCGGGAGGTCATGCTTTCCTTTCCTCAGTGTGCTAGCTGGGGGTTTTAAGAGAGATCACTTTATTGGTCAATTGCACAAGGTCCAACTGGTAACCAACTGGTAATCAGGCAGGGGGCAGCTAAGTGCACCGCCACCCGAATGCTTTAATATTAAAACACCTTTGATCCAGCCACGATGACAACGGCTAGGGCTATTTATTCCATCCAGCAGAGCCGGGGAGCCAAAGTTCACCCTCGATCTTGAAAGGCTGCGTTTACACAGGCAGGCCAATTCTGATCTTTTAACACTAATTGGTATTTTGACCAATCAGATCAGCTCGACAATAAAATTGGGCAAAAGATCCGAATTGGGCTGCATGTGTAAACGCAGCCATAGAGGAACCAAGAAATGTTGTTTCAGACACGACATTGATTTACTGAAACATACATGAACTCTATAGCCCTTCAGACAAATGAAATCGATTTACTAAAAATGGCCCTTCAGTAAAATAAAGGTTAATTAAAAAATAAAAACAATTGTAGGATTATAGTTGCAGGGATGGAGGTTATGCCAGGAGAAATGCATGCAAAAGGTGTCAGCCACATCAATGACGTGTAGAGTAAGGAGCAATTGCTTATTCAGGAAGCTTGATGAGGTTTCAAGATCAATGTTAGGATTCAGCCGTGATGCATTGATTTTATTATTTTAACATGCTTGACATGCAGTAAAGCTGAGCTACAAAGCAGATGCAGGGCTTCTTACCCTTTTCCCCTTTGAGATCAGGGAGCGAGAAAACACTGCTGGAGACCTGCTGTGATCACATGCACCGCAGGGTGGCTAACGGGCAGGGTGAATGAAGATGAGACTAGATTTATGCTCCTCACATTTTCAGCAGCGTGGCACACACACTCCACTTCACACAAAGCTCCAGCACACAGAGAGTCACAGAGAGCTCAAGGCTCGTGAAGATGCATGTGTCATGTTAACCCTGTGGAACCATCTACTGTCTTGTATTGCAGTCGGACTACGTTGTACTTTGTGTTGACATTTATTTGCCAACCACTGTCCTGACGCATCAAGCTTCATCCTGCACAGATGGCTTGGTGTGGTGGTCTCTGGCAATTCCACGGCAACGGAATTGCGCTTTGACACCGTTTTTTTTAAACTTTAAAATGTATGCCAAACAAAAAACATTGATTTCAAAGTTTAACAAACCATACAACTTTATGTACAAGGACTACTTTTAACAATTTCCACAGAAAAATGTACAAAAACGATTTGTGCAGATGCAAACTTTGGTAACGAAATTACAGTAAAATCCCCCTCAGGTTTACGCGACCACGTTTTCCAAAAACTGTTAAAATATCTGCTCCGAATTAAGATTCAAAAGATGTCTGCAGAAAGAATGGGGTGTCAGCTATGACATGGCACCCTGAGTTTAAAAAATATATATTTTGGTTATTGAACTACAGTATGTGAAGTGGATTTACACCCGGTAACGGAATTACCGTACCGGAATTACATAATGGGTCCCTAATCTGTGCATAGTTATGGATATGAATGTCATTCTCCTCATGTTTCACAAGTTTGGACATGACAGCACAGTAGAATTCAGTACAATACAGCACAGCAAAGTAGAGTAGAGTTCAGTGCAGTGCAGTACAGTACAGTAGAGTTCAGTACATTAAAGTAGAGTTCAGTACATTAAAGTAGAGTTCAGTATAGCGCAGTACAGTGGAGTTCAGTACAGTAGAGTTCAGTACAGTAGAGTTCAGTACAGTAGAGTTCAGTACAGTAAAGCAGAGTAGAGTTCAGTACATTAAAGTAGAGTTCAGTACAGTAGAGTAGAGTTTGGTACAGTGGAGTAAAGTAGCGTAGGGTTCAGTACAGTGCCGTATAGTTCAGTACAGTACAACATACTATACTGTACTTTTAACTGTACTGTGTTGTACTGTACAAACGTCTATGATAAGTTCATATTTGCTCAATTCCAGTCTCTGTGGATGTTAACATCAAGCGGGGGGGGTGTTAAGGAGCGCGGTTTGGCGGGTCATGTTTCGGAGGACGCATGACTCGACCTTCGCCTCTCCCGAGCCCGTTGGGGAGTTGCAGTGATGAGACAAGATCGCAATTGGATATGAAGAAATTGGGGAGAAAAAAGGGGGAGGCATTTTTCTATAAATTTTTTTAAAAGAATACTTAGCATGCATTGCAACTGTTCATTTTTACATATAAATTTAATTTAGTTCATTTAGCAGACACTTATCACACCATAGTGCAATCAAACTTCTGATACAAATGCAGGGTGAAAGGGGGCCAAAGAAATGGTATAGAAAAGTGTTTTGAAAATACAAATAACAGCTCTTGAAAATATCTTGTTACAAAATACATTGGAGTGTAGTTCAGCCCATTGTAAAACAAATTACAAAATACTCAGAGTAATTGAAATACATACAGTGCCTTTAGAAAGTATTCAAAGTGGAATTATGTTTTTAGAAATGTTTACAAATGTATTAAAAATGAAAAGCTGAAATGTCTTGAGTCAAAGTGTTATGTTTGGGACACATCCAACACAACACATTACGGAGTACCAATCTCCATATTTTCAAGCATAGTGGTGGCTGCATCATGTTATGGGTATGCTTGTAATCATTAAGGACTGGGGAGTTTTTCAGGATAAAATAAGAAATGGAATGGAGCTAAGCACAGGCAAAATCCTAGAGGAAAAACCTGGTTCAGTCTGCTTTCCACCAGAAACTGGGAGATTAATTCACCTTTCAGCAGCACAATAATCTAAAACGCAAGGCCAAATCTACACTGGAGTTGCTTACCAAGACACTGAATGTTCCTGAGTGGCCAAGTTACAGTTTTGACTTAAATCTACTTGAAAATCTACGGAAAGACCTGAAAATTGTTGTCTAGAAATGATCAATAACCAATTTGACAGAACTTGAAGAATTTTGAAAAGAATAAATGGGCAAATTTTGTACAATCCAGGTGTGGAAAGTTATTACAGAGACTTACCCAGAAAGACTCACAGCTGTAAATCGCTACTAAAGGTGGTTCTACAAGTTTCAAGCTCAAGTTTTAATGTCACGTGCACAAGTACAGTGAAATGCCTTTCTTGCAAACTCAAAGTATTGATTCAGGTGTGTGAATACTTATGTAAATATTCTACAGTACCAGTAAAAAGTTTGGACACACCTACTCATTCAAGTATTTTACTATTTTCTACATTGTAGAATAATAGTGAAGACATCAAAACTATGAAATAACACATATGGAATCATGCAGTAACAAAAAAAGGGTTAAACTAATCAAAATATATATTTTATATTTGAGATTCTTCAAAGTAGCCACACTTTGCCTTGATGACAGCTTTGCACACTCCTAGCATTCTCTCAACCAGCTTCACCTGGAATGCTTTTCCAACAGTCTTGAAGGAGTTCCCACATATGCTGAGCACTTGTTGGCTGCTTTTCCTTCACTCTGCCGTCCAACTCATCCCAAACCATCTCAATTGGGTTGAGGCCGTGGGATTGTGGAGGCCAGGTCATCTGATGCAGCACTCCATCACTCTCCTTTTTGGTAAAATAGCCCTTACACAGCCTGGAGGTGTGTTGGGTCATTGTCCTGTTGAAAAACAAATGATAGTCCCACTAAGCCCAAACCAGATGGGATGGCGTATCACTGCAGAATGCTGTGGTAGCCATGCTGGTTAAGAGTGCAGACAGTGTCACCAGCACCAGCAAAGCACCCCCACACCATAACACCTCCTCCTTCATGCTTAACGGTGGGAACTACACATGCGGAGATCATCCGTTCACCCATACCGCGTCTCACAAAGACACAGAGGTTGGAACCAAAAATCTCAAATTTGGACTCCAGACCAAAGGACACATTTCCACCGGTCTAATGTCCATTGCTCGTGTTTCTTGGCCCAAGCAGGTCTCTTCTTCATATTGGTGTCCTTTAGTAGTGTTTTTTTGCAGCAATTCGACCATGAAGGCCTGATTCACGCAGTCTCCTCTGAACAGTTGATGTTGAGATGCGTCTGTTACTTGAACTCTGTGAAGCATTTATTTGGGCTGCAATTTCTGATGAACTTATCCTCTGCAGCAGAGGTAACTCTGGGTCTTCCTTTCCTGTGGCGGTCCTCATGAGAGCCAGTTTATCATGGCGCTTGATGGTTTTTGCAACTGCACTTGGAGAAACTTTCAAAGTTCTTGAAATGTTCCGTATTGACTGTCCTTCATGTCTTAAAGTAATGATGGACTATTGTTTCTCTTTGCTTATTTGAGCTAGTCTTGCCATAATATGGACTTGGTCTTTTACCAAATAGGGCTATCTTCTGTATACCCCCCCCCCCCCCCCCCCCCCCCCCACCACCTTGTCACAAAACAACTGATTGGCTCAAATGTATTAAGAAGGAAAGAAATTCCACAAATTAACAAGGTACACCTGTTAATTGAAATGCATTCCGGGTGACTACCTCATGAAGCTGGTTGAGAGAATACCAAGAGTGTTCAAAGCTGTCATCAAAGCAAAGGGTTGCTACTTTGAAGAAACTTTTGATTTGTTAAAAACTTTTTTGGTTACTACATGATTCCATGTGTTATTTCAAAGTTTTAATGTCTTCACTATTATTCTACAACCTAGAAAATAGTACAAAATAAAGAAAAACCCTTGAATGAATAGGTGTGTCCAAACTTTTGACTGGTACTGTATTTATGTATTTACATTTTCAAAAATTTATAAAAACATGTTTTCATTTTGGGGCATTGTGTGTAGAAATGGTGAGAGAAAAATATATTTAATCCATTTTCAATTCAGGCTGTAAAACAACAAAATGTGGAATAAGTCAAGGTGTATGAATACTTTATGAAGGCACTGTATTTCAAATAGATGTAACATAAATACTGTCCATCTCTGCACACGCACACACTTAGTGGATCATCAGCTAACAATGCAGTGAACAATCCTCCTGTTATTGCAGCAGAAAGCCACTATAGGCTTGGAACGGGACCAACAATAGGCCCGTCGAAACAGCAAATTTACTATCTGTGCAGCTGAAAACGATGCAGGGTCTATTTGCATGACAAATGGGGTGTTTGTGCAGGCCAGGCTGGGCTTCATAATGACAGGCTGCAGGGGACAGGGACACGCACTGAGAGGGCCACTGGCTGGCTGACTTGCTGCCGTCACCATCCCCCAGTGCCGCTGCACAGTACAGTACAACAGACAATGATGAAAGCACAACTGTCCGTCTTTGGGCCAAACTGCAACATTTAAATAAAATAAAAGACTCACAGGATAATTTACTCCCTAGTCCCTACTGACATGACAGGGGACAGTAATTACAGGAACACACGTTGTAATAGATGTGTCCTCCGGCCCCTGCTATCATTTTTGTGCAAGATAAGTGCATGCAAGTGTAGGTTGGCGGCCACCATCCGTAGCCTAGGTCTAACCTTGCCTTGCACAAGAATTAACGCAGGGGCCGGTATCATTTGCAGAATATCCAAATTCTTGATAAATTCTTTGGCATGAGTTTTTTTTTATGCATTTCCAGACCTCCTTTTAAGTCCTTAGTCCATTTCCAGAGTCATTTTCTAAGGAAAGAAAACATGTATCTGCAAGGTATGCTCACACTAAAAAGTCTGGAGTGCAGTGCTTCTAACAATGCAAATACTCAATGTCAATACAGTCTAAACCATTTTGCAGGTGTTTTATTTTGCAAGTGTGAATACAGCGATCCATCTTAATCTAGCAAAAGTCCCAAACCAGCCGAGTATATAAATGAAAATATGGCTTTGTATTAATCACATAGAAAGCGTACGCCTAACCATTAGCTGCAACTCCAGTGTGTGTGTGTGTGTGGGTTGACGTTTCACCTCTATTGACAGAAGCCCACAGGTAAAGGTAAACATTGCTGCCAATCAGGGGCGAGCCACTAGCTGGTCATGTCCTGCACAGCCAGACAGAGAGAGTGTGTGTGTGTGTGTGTATGCATCGCAGGGGTAGAAAGCTGTGTATTATGATTCTGAATGATCAGATTGGCAGAAACAATGACAAGAAGCTGCCATGTGGGGAATCATAGACGGCTTGTTTCAGCTAGTTGTATCTTGAAGTGTTTTTAGGCGTTTTGACTTATACCACGTCTGATAATATGGCAAAAATGTGATAGCTAACTAACTAATAACTGTAATGATGTATTTGAGAGACAACAAGTGCTTATTGTGCAAATGTATTTATGTTTTCAATAAACATTTGGAGACTAAATATAGTTTACATGTTGTCAATAATCCTATGACAAAGAAGTTGGTTCTGTCCCAAATGACACCCTATTCCCTATATAGTGCACTACTTTTGACCAGCGCCCATTGGGTTCTGGTCAAAAGTAGTGCACTATATAGGGAATAGGGTGCCATTTGGGACACATCCAATAACAGCCCTCCTGGCTTTGCAAATCCTATTCAAATCATATGCATTTTTCTCCTTGATGATCTGTCAAAATAGATGTTTGCCTTGGCCTTAGGAATGTAGTAGGGCCCACAGCTATGGGACATGTGCATGGTTTAGATCATAGGTGTCAAACTCATTCCATGGAGGGCTGAGTGTCTGTGGATTTTCACTTTTCCCTTGTTCTTCATTGATCAAGTAAGGTGACTGGTTAGTTAGGAACTCCCCTGTCTAGGTCTTAATTGGACACAAATTGAACATAATCATCCAATGTGTGAGTTTCGATGGATAGGAGTAACAGGACAATTAGGCCTATGTTGTGAAAACGCTCATGCATGTACCAAGACTTTCAAAGATGCAAATACTGTCTGAAAATATCAGGGGTGTCAAACTCATTCCATAGAGGTACGAGACGAGTGTCTTCTGGTTGTTGTCATGTCCTTGCAATGTGTGTCCAATTAAGACCTAGACAACCAGGTGAGGGGAGTTTCTAATTGATCAGTGACCTTCATTGATCAATCAAGCACAACAGAGATCAATAGCAATACATTCCAGAGGGTTATAGAGATTGATTCTGAAGATTGTCTCTTTGTGCAGTGGTCCACCTTGAGAGAAACTGTTCAGCAATGAAACACGCGAGAATCTCACTGCCAATAGACTGCAGGTACTTAATACAGTGGGGGGCCGTTCCTTCTCTCGCTACAACAAAAGCGGTACCTACTGCGTGCTGACCCGGTAGCGACGAGCCTACTGATTATACTTGTAGAATCGCCAACAACTTGACTTTGAGCCAATCAGAGAGCACGAACCACGTGGGGGGCCGAAAAAGGAAGGCATTTTTTTTTCTCCATACATCCATAGATGAGCCAGTCAGACTTCATATCCAATGTAGCTATGGGATGGTACCTAGCTAAATGCAGAGACGCAATCCACACAACACTAAATACTTCCTCCAAGCTAGCTAACCACTGTAGCCGGTATTGACATTATAATTCAATCACAATGGATTAGCTAGTTTCCATGAAACAGCTGCCTTGTGTTAGCTGCCGAGTTAGTGCAGTGTCCTTAGCTAGCTATGTAGTGCTAGCTAGCGAATATGCTAACGTTAGCTAGCTAGCTAAACATTTGACTATGGGCTGGACTGGCAGTGTGGGATTATGGAGAGTGAAATAAATAATTTATTCGTCATCTTGCTAGGTAGTTATCTAGCTGTGGCCATCTGGCTAGTATCAACATGGGCTTTCTACAAAATAGAAACATTAGCGCAGATAGCTTTGAATAGACCATAAGCAATATGCACGGCAATGCGTTGCCAAACAACTCTACTGCCACCTTCTGGTTAGTAGAATTTTAACAAGGCTGAGTGGCTAACAACTTCCAAGGTCTTTGCTGTGTGAACACAAAAGAGATTGACTGCAGACACTTATCATAGGTGCTAAATACTGTCAGCAGGTAACCGTTTGGCAATCCTACCTGTGTGTCTGAGCTTTTACTTACTGAATGTGGCAGGGATGTTTTGCTTGGAGACTCGTATTTTAAATAGCCCATTACCCTGTTTCTTGAACTGTTCACCTCAGTACAGTAGACTTACACACAGCAAATCTATATTTAGCTTTTTACTTTTTAAATGTCTACCTATATTGCTGTAGGAACAAAGCTCAGCCACTAGCTAGGTCTATAGGCGCCCCAATAATGTCCATTATGCGCCACTGACAGTGAAAACAAAACTGCAACTAATAAAATTGTCTTTAGAACTCAAGTGTGATTTTCCAAGCCATTTAAACTGAACTTCACCAATTGACAGCTGCATGTTGTCATATTGTGATCGTGTCCCCCGACTCCCTGCTTAAAACGCATGCACTGTAATAGCAAAGTTTACAGTTATGCGGTTAATCGATGCACTGAAATAAATGCATTTGATTCATTACCTTGCAAAGGCAACATCTCGTCGAAATGTGCATGTGATCGTACATGCTTTATATAAAGGCGTTGCAATATGTCTACAGGGAGTTGTTGACTGTGTAACAGCTTTAACTAGGCTATAACATCCCTGGTACAAGAGGACTGCAAATACCGTCAACATGAGCAAAAAACATTTAACTACTATATGTTGAGAGTAGACAGACAGCATCGTCTCACCAGGGACTCTGCAAAGGGGAAGAGCTAAACAGGAAATGCAACTGACCCTTTTAGCGCATCAAACTTTAACATGCATTGACAATATCCAACCTGCAGCAATGCACATTGCATACAATGCATTGCTGATTGCAGATCAGTCGTTTTGCACAGATCGCATGTAATATTCTTACCTCCCTTTGGCTGAGACATTTCCCCTTTGCTTTGATGGGGGGGAGGGGATGCACTAGAGACTTTGCCTTCTTTCTCACTCCCTCCCTCCATCGCCCTCGCGCCGAAGCTTGCTTGCAGAATACAAGCCGCGATCTTCATGCACTTGGAGCCTTTTTGCGTCTGAACCGTGTGTGTCCGTGCAAAGAGCAATATTACAATTGCACACCTTGCAAAACGGTCAGGAAACGGGTAGTTTTGCAATGGCACTGCAAATAATTCTCAGCGGCACTTACATAATGGGCCACGGCTGGCAGCTGAAAGCTCCTAACTTGGATCAGACAGTGAGTGCCATTGGCCTATATTACGAACGTTCGTCCTGCTTGGGCGCAAAGGTTGGTGGGAACTGTAGTCCATACTGTAGTTATGCGTACTGTGTTACAGTATTGTATTACTTCATTACAGTATCTGAGTATGGCTATGTGTGATAAATGATCCGCATGTTTTCTTGTAGGCTATATACCGAATATTCATTTCAAGTGTATTATAATTTACATAAAATGAAACTTGAAGTTACACCTTTGTATGCACTCATAATCCATAAAAATAGGCCTAGGCTACTTGTAATACATCACTCTAAAATGTTGGAAACACACCAACAGTCAATCTGTCCTGGAATAATGTTGCTTTATTGGATGGTACCGCAAGCAAGAGATATCATCAATGGTAATGTCAATGAAGAGGAAACACTGTTTCTGAACCTCCTTGGTAAACAGCTTGAGAATAATACCAACAATTTGTTTTAAAAATCTTTTCTAAGATAACTAATATTATCTATTATTAATAAACAGAAAAGTGACAATGAATCTAATCTAATCACGATTTGTATAACCTTTGTGTTATTTCTTATACAAATGGACTAAATGCATTCAATCAATTTTGCTTTCATCATGGTTTCTAGTACTTTGGTCTGTAGGCCTATGTATGCTACATGAGAGACAGAATGGTCCAAAGCACCTGAACAGGGTGTGATGAGTGACCCTTTGAGGTGAATGTCTGGGGTATAATATCACCGAGAAATAGCATTTAAAACATCGCTAAACCAAAGCTTGTAAGACCTATTGATCTTGAATAAAGACATACTGTACAAAATGTTATCAAACAGGTATTGTCTGCTATGAATTTATTCCATGCATTGCAGACATGCTGGTTGGCTGGTTGGCTGGCTGGCTGGTTGGCTGGTTGGCTGGTTGGTTGCAGCATGATGGGGTTGGTTGGCTGGCTGGTTGGCCGGCTGGCTGGCCGGTTGGTTGGCTGCAGACATGATGGGGTTGGTTGGTTGGTTGCAGACATGATGGGGTTGGTTGGTTGGTTGCAGACATGATGGGGTTGGTTGGTTGGTTGGTTGGCTGGTTGCAGACATGATGGGGTTGGTTGGTTGGTTGGTTGGTTGCAGACATTATGGGGTTGGTTTGATTGGTTGGTTGGTTGGTTGGTTGCAGACATGATGGGGTTGGTTGGTTGCAGACATGATGGGGTTGGTTGGCTGGTTGGTTTTCCCTTGACATTGTGTATTATGCAATATGAGTGTGATGTTTTAAGAGGTTGGCTTACATGGTGTCAACCATGCCACATGAATGAAGGGAAGTGAATAAGTGCACACTTAGGGCAGAAGGACAGAGAATTGGGACGCAAAGAAAGAGTGATTGGGGTCATTTCTTGGTAGAGATGAGGGTCTGGTAGAGCGGCTTGACCACGATGTGTAGATAGAGGGAACCATCGACGAGGTACTCAGACGTCTTGCGGTGCAGATCGGCTTCCACCAGGAAGTCCCCAGTCTCCTCGGTGCTCTGGTGGAAGTTATAAACATGTCTCACCACCATGTTCCCCTGCTGCCTTGCCATCACCACCACCGTCTTCTGGAAACTCACCCCGGCGAAGTCCACACTCGACGTAGCGGGGGTAATAATGATGCGGGGCTGCCCTCCGTCGACTTGCGTCGGCTGCATGGAGCCATGTTCAGAATACATGGTCCTCATACTGAGGGGTAACCAACGTGGCGAGAACAGGGCGTTCCAGGTCATCCGCTTGTTGACGTCATGGCCGCTGGACCAAGCTGCGTCTGGAAGCTGGTGCTGCGGTCATCCCTCATGGGGTTGTTGATGACCCAAGGACTCCCCCAGGCTGGGGAGAGGTAGTTCCTGGGCATGAAGAGACTACAGTTCACGTCAAAGTACTTGGCCATGTGGAGGGGGGAGGCAGAGTGGAACTGGTAGGACTGATAGAGGAGGTCCCTGACCGACTCCTGGTAGCGGGCCAGGAGAGGAGACTGTGTCTGCAGCCGGAAGAGCTCCCGCGGGGGCATCATGGCGTAACGGACGGCTCTGAGAGCGTTCTCCGCTGTTAGAGCATCCGGCTCATTCTGGTTGATCCAGACCTCCAGCGCCGTGATCAGTTCCATCTCACTCTGAAATTCAAAGTCACATTTTAAAACTTTATTGTTCCCGCAGACCAGGGAAATTCATTTTGCAGCCAGGAGTACATAAGACAACACAATAAATAGAGTATACACATCGCAAAGACACACACAAGTTCAAAATTGTTCAGTGGATCTGTACATAATCATAAGATGGAGTAGTACACAGGAGTTAGCCTGCTCCCATATCTGTTTGTGCTGTATTGCCAACAGAAACAGATCTGGGATCAGGCAGACAAATGTGAAACAATGATTGACAAGTAGTTGGCCCGACAGTAAAAACAGATCTGCAATCAGGCTACCCAGGAGTAGGCCTACCTGCAAGATGAGGTCTGAGCGCTGCAGCAGGGTCATGAGCAGGTCGTTGCTGATGGTGGTCCACTCCCCACTCTGCAGTACGGAGGACAGGTTCCAGGACAGGTGTCCCTCAGGGCCACGTCTCCAGTCCGCAGGGCGTACTGGTACCTGCAATGGTGTCAACATTATATAAGTCCAGTCCATGTTTTACTAGTTGAACTAGTTGTTAAAGGTCCAATGCAGTGTTTTTATCTCAATATCAAATCATTTCTGGGTAACAATTATATATCTTACTGTGATTGTTTTAAATAAAAATGGTCAAAAAGAAACAAAAATATATTGTTAGCAAAAAGCTATTTCTCAAGTAAGAATTTTGCAAATACTGTCTGAGAGTGGTCTGAATTGGGAGGGGAAAACTGAAAACTAGCTGTTATTGGCAGAGAGGTTTGGAACTCTCATTTTTTAATTTCATTTTTTGTTGTAATTTTTAACCCCCTTTTTCGTGATTACGATCTTGTCTCATCGCTGCAACTCCCCAACGGGCTCAGGAGAGGCAAAGGTTGAGTCATGCGTCCTCCGAAACATGACCCGCCAAACCGCGCTTCTTACCACCCGCCCGCTTAATCCGGAAGCCAGCTGCACCAATGTGTCGGAGGAAACATTGTTCAACTGATGACCGAAGTCAGCCTGCAGGCGCCCGGCCCGCCACAAGGAGTCGCTAGAGCGCAATGAGCCAAGTAAAGCCTCCCCTAACCCGGACGACGCTGGGCCAATTGTGTGCCACCCTATGGGACTCCCGGTCACGGCCAGTAGTGACGCCGCAACACTACGATGCAGTGCCTTAGACCGCTGGGCCACTCGGGAGGCCCGGAACTCTCTTTCTTAATTAACTAATACCACCTGGGGATGACACAGCTCATTATCATCCTTTACACAATTTCACAGTATTATTCCATCCTCACAGTGTGGAAATATATATATATAAAACACAGGAAAATCACGTTTTTGACTGCACTGGGCCTTTAATGAATGCAATGTTTATTGTAAAGACTAATGTATGGACTTCATAATGTATAGACTTCTGCTGAAGACGTTATTTACCAATTGTATCTTTGACAGCAGTGCCTTCAGTAAAGTATATCAGACGACACCCCGACCTCCATTCATATAACATTTACATTTTAGTCATTTAGCAGACGCTCTTATCCAGAGCGACTTACAGTTAGTGAGTGCATACATTCTTTTATTTTTTAAATATTTTTTTTCATACTGGCCCCCCGTGGGAATCGAACCCACAACCCTGGTGTTGCAAACGCCATGCTCTACCAACTGAGCTACATCCACAACATATACAATACAATATAAAGGGGGAGGTTACCTTTTCTCAAGGCAGACCTGAAAATATAGTTCTCCCTTGGGAAAGATGTCTTCTGACCTCAATGGGACTTCCTGGTTAAATAAACATTAGATAAAAATAAATAAACAGTAAAGTACCATTCCACTGCGTGTCCAAAGGGGCTGGCCAGGTTCTGAGTCATGTACTGGGTGACCCCCTGCTGGAGGCCCTGGACGCGGTACTTAGTGGCCAGCTTGTGTAGAGGGGTGGCCTGCTCAAGACACAGAGAGATCTCTCCACAGTACAGGTACCTGGAGAGAGCGAGAGAGAGAGAGAGAGAGAGAGAGAGAGAGAGATGAGAGAGAGAGAGAGAGAGAGACTGAGAGAGAGAGAGAGAGAGAGAGAGAGAGAGAAGGGAGAGAGAGAGAGAGAGAGAGAGAGAGAGAGAGAGAGAGAGAGAGAGAGAGAGAGAGAGAGAGAGAGAGAGAGAGAGAGAGAGAGGAGAGAAGAGAGAAGAGAGAGAGAGAGAGAGAGAGAGAACTGAATAATAATAATAATAATAAGGAACTGAATAATATTAAGAAATGCTATAGATGGAGGGAAAAGAGTGTGGAAACCTACCAAAAAACAATTAGGCAACAACAAATTCAATCCCTTTTATACAACTTCCTGGACAAAACGTTTCACTGTAATAGTGAAGGTGTAAACTTGGCAGTAGATAACCTAGTATATTTGACCTCTCAGCTTCCCTATCAAATTAAAAAATGTCAAACAGACAACTGAAGAAAATTAACAGCAATGACAAATGGTTTGATGAAGAATGCAAAAATTGAGAAACCTATCCAACCAAAAACAAAGAGACCCAGAAAACCTGAGCAGACGCCTTCACTATGGTGAATCACTAAAACAATACAGAAATACACTACGGAAAAAGAAGGAACAGCACGTCAGAAATCAGCTCAATGTAATTGAAGAATCCATGGACTCTAACCACTTCTGGGAAAATTGGAAACCACTAAACAAACAACAACACAAAGAGTTATCTATCCAAAATGGAGATGTATGGGTAAACCACTTCTCCACTCTTTTTGGCCCTGTAACAAAGAACAAACAGCAAAAACATATACATGATCAAATACAAATCTTAGAATCAACTATTAAAGACTACCAGAACCCACTGGAATCTCCAATTACATTGAATGAACTACAAGACAAAATACAAAGCCTCCAACCCAAAAAGGCCTGTGGTGTTGATGGTATCCTCAATGAAATTATCAAATATACAGACCACAAATTCCAATTGGCTATACTTAAACTCTTTAACATCATCCTTAGCTCTGGCATCTTCCCCAATATTTGGAACCAAGGACTGATCACCCCATTCCACAAAAGTGTAGACAAATTTGACCCCAACAACTACCGTGGGATATGCGTCAGCAGCAACCTTGGTAAAATCCTCTGCATTATCATTAACAGCAGACTCGTACATTTTCTCAGTGAAAACAATGTACTGAGCAAATGTGATATTGGCTTTCTACCAAATTACCGTACGACAGACCACATATTCACCCTGCACACCCTAATTGACAAACAAACAAACCAAAACAAAGGCAAACTCTTCTCATGCTTTGACTTCAAAAAACGTTTTACTCAATTTGGCATGAGGGTCTGCCACCCTCTTCAACATATACACAACACTACCTGTCAAAAGTTTTAGAACACCTACATATACTATTCTATCCACATATTCTACAGATATACTAATATTGCATTAATATACTGTCAGTAATGTCTATACATCCCATCACACACATGTATGTATATATATATATATATATATATATATATATATATACAGTACCAGTCAAAAGACACCTACTCATTCAAGGGTTTTTCTTTATTTGTATTTTCTACATTGTAGAATAATAATGAAAATGATGAAAGATCACATATGGAATCATGTAGTAACCAAAAAAAGTGTTAAACAAATCAAAATATATTTTATATGTGAGATTCTTCAAATAGCCACCCTTTGCCTTGATGACAGCTTTGCACACTTTTGGCATTCTCTCAACCAGCTTCACCTGGAATGCTTTTCCAACAGTCTTGAAGGAGTTCCCACATATGCTGAGAAATTGTTTGCTGCTTTTCCTTCACTCTGCAGTCCAACTCATCCCAAACCATCTCAATTTGGTTGAGGTCGGGGGATTGTGGAGGCCAGGTCATCTGATGCAGCACTCCATCACTCTCCTCCTTGGTAGCCTGGAGGTGTGTTGGGTCATTGTCCTGTTGAAAAACAAATCATAGTCCCACTAAGCCCAAACCAGATGGGATGGTGTATCGCTGCAGAATGCTGTGGTAGCCATGCTGGTTAAGTGTGCCTTGAATTCTAAATATATCACAGACAATGTCACCAACAAAGCACCCCCACACCATAACACCTCCTCCTCCATGCTTTACGGTGGGAAATATACATGCGGAGATCATCCGTTCATCCACACCGCATCTCACATCTCATGCAAATAGTCCGGGTAGCCATGATTAGCTGTTCAGGAGTCTTATGGCTTGGGGGTAGAAGCTGTTGAGAAGCCTTTTGGATCTAGACTTGGCGCTCCGGTACCGCTTGTCGTGCGGTAGCAGAGAAAACAGTCTATGACTAGGGTGGCTGGAGTCTTTGACCATTTTGAAGGCCTTCCTCTGACACCGCCTGGTATAGAGGTCCTGGATGGCAGGAAGCTTGGTCCGAGTGATGTACTGGGCCGTACGCACTACCCTCTGTAGTGCCTTGCGGTCTGAGGCCGAGCAGTTGCCATACCAGGCGGTGATGCAACCAGTCATGATGCTCTCGATGGTGCAGCTGTATAACTTTTTGAGGATCTGAGGACCCATGCCAAATCTTTTCAGTCTCCTGAGGGGGAATAAGCTTTGTCGTGCCCTCTTCACGACTGTCTTGGTGTGTTTGGACCATGATAGTTCGTTGGTGATGTGAACACCAAGGAACTTGAAGCTCTCAACCTGTTCCACTACAGCCCCGTCAATGAGAATGGGGGCGTTCTCGGTCCTCTTTTTTTTCCTGTAGTCCACAATCATCTCCTTTGTATTGATCACGTTGAGAGTGAGGTTGTTATCCTGGCACCCCACAGCCAGGTCTCGGACCTCCTCCCTATAGGCTGTCTCATCGTTGTCGGTGATCAGGCTTACCACTGTTGTGTCGTCAGCAAACTTAATGATGGTGTTGGAGTCAAGTCTGGCCATGCAGTCATGGGTGAACAGGGAGTACAGGAGGGGACTGAGCACGCACCCCTGAGGGGCCCCCGTGTTGAGGATCAGCATGGCAGATGTATTGTTACCTGCCCTTACCACCTGGGGGCGGCCCGTCAGGAAGTCCAGGATCCAGTTGCAGAGGGAGGTGTTTAGTCCCAGGGTCCTTAGCTTACTGATGAGCTTTGAGGGCACTATGGTGTTGAACGCTGAGCTGTAGTCAATGAACAGCATTCTCACATAGGTGTTCCTCTTGTCCAGGTGGGAAAGGGCAGTGTGGAGTGCCATAGAGTTTGCATCATCTGTGGATCTGCTGGGGCGATATGCAAATTAGAGTGGGTCTAGGGTTTCTGGGATAATGGTGTTGATGTGAGCCATGACCAGCCTTTCAAAGCACTTCATGGCTACAGACGTGAGTGCTATGGGTCGGTAGTCATTTAGGCAGGTTATCTTAATGTCCTTGGGCACAGGCACTATGGTGGTCTGCTTGAAACATGTTGGTATTACAGACTCAGTCAGGGACATGTTGAAAATGTCAGTGAAGATACTTGCCAGTTGGTCAGCACATGCTCGGAGTACACGTCCTGGTAATCCATCTGGCCCTGCGGCCTTGTGAATGTTGACCTGCTTAAAAGTCTTACTCACATCGGCTACGGAGAGCGTGATCACATAGTCATCCGGAACAGCTGGTGCTCTCATGCATGCTTCAATGTTGCTTGCCTCGAAGCGAGCATAGAAGTGATTTAGCTCGTCTGGTAGGCTTGTGTCACTGGGCAGCTCGCGGCTGTGCTTCCCTTTGTAGTCTGTAAAAGTTTTCAAGCCCTGCCACATCCAACGAGTGTCAGAGCCGGTGTAGTACGATTCAATCTTTGTCAGGTATTGACTCTGCCTGTTTGATGGTTCGTCGGAGGGTATAGCGGGATTTCTTATAAGCATCCGTGTTAGAGTCCCGCTCCTTGAAAGCGACAGCTCTACCCTTTAGCTCAGTGTGGATGTTGCCTATAATCCATGGCTTCTGGTTGGGGTATGTACGTACGGTCACTGTGGGGATGATGTCATCGATGCACTTATTGATGAAGCCAGTGACTGATGTGGTGTACTCATCAATGCTATCTGAAGAATCCCGGAACATATTCCAGTCTGTGCTAGCAAAACAGTCCTGTAGCTTAGCATTTGCATCATCTGACCACTTTTTTATTAACCGAGTCACTGGTGCTTCCTGCTTTAGTTTTTGCTTATAAGCAGGAATCAGGAGGATAGAGTTATGGTCAGATTTGCCAAATGGAGGGCGAGGGAGAGCTTTGTATGCATCTCTGTGTGTGGAGTAAAGGTGGTCTAGAGTTTTTTTCCCTCTGGTTGCACATTTAACATGCTGGTAGAAATTAGGTAGAACGGATTTAAGTTTCCCTGCATTAAAGTCCCCGGCAACTAGGAGCGCTGCCTCTGTATGAGCGTTTTCCTGTTTACTTATGGCCTTATACAGCTCATTGAGTGCAATCTTAATGCCAGCATCGGTTTGTGGTGGTAGATAGACAGCTACGAAAAATATAGATGAAAAGTCTCTTGGTAAATAGTGTGGTCTACAGCTTATCATAAGATACTCTACCTCAGGCGAGCAAAACCTTGAGACTTCCTTAGTATTAGATTTTACATTTTAGTCATTTAGCAGATGCTCTTATCCAGAGCGACTTACAGTTAGTGAGTGCATAGATTATTATTATTTTTATTTTTTTCATACTGGCCCCCCGTGGGAATCGAACCCACAACCCTGGCGTTGCAAACACCATGCTCTACCAACTGAGCTACATCCCTGCCGGCCATTCCCTCCCATACCCTGGGCCAATTGTGCGCCGCCCCATGGGTCTCCCGGTGGCAGCCGGCTACGACAGAGCCTGGATTCGAACCAGGATCTCTAGTGGCACAGCTAGCCTTAGACCACTGCGCCACTCGGGAGGCCAGCTGTTGTTTACAAATATACACAGACCGCCACCCCTTGTCTTACCGGAGTCAGCCATTCTATCCTGCCGATGTAGCGTATATCCCGTCAGCTGTATGTTGTCCATGTCGTCGTTCAGCCATGACTCGGTGAAACATAAGATATTACAGTTTTTAATGTCCCGTTGGTAGGATAACCTAAATCTCAGGTCGTCCAATTTGTTCTCAAATGATTGAACATTGGCTAATAGGATTGATGGAAGAGGCAGTTTACTCACTCGCCGTCGGATCCTTACAAGGCACCCCGACGTACGTCCATGATATATCTGTCTCTTTCTCATGCGAATGACAGGGATTTGGGCCTTGTCGGGTGTCTGTAGGATATCCTTCGCCTCCGGCTCGTTGAATACATTTTTTCCGTCCAATACGAGGTGAGTAATCGCTGTCCTGATATCCAGAACCTATTTTTGGTCATAAGAGATGGTGGCAGAAACATTATGTACAGAATAAATTACAAATAACACGAAAAAACACGCATAATAGTACAATTGGTTAGAGGGCTGTAAAACGGCAGCCATCTTCTCCGGCGCCACTTTATGGTTGTGAGGTCTGGGGTTCACAAAATGGGACAAACACCAAATTGAAACTCTGCATGCAGAATTCTCCAAAAATATCCTCAGTGTGCAACGTAAAACACCAAATAATGCATGCAGAGCAGAATTAGGCCTATACCCGCTAATTATCAAAATCCAGAAAAGAGCTGTTAAATTCTACAACCACCTAAAAGGAAGCGATTCCCAAAACCTTCCATAACAAAGCCATCACCTACAGAGAGATCAACCTGGAGAAGAGTCCCCTAAACAAGCTGGTCCTGGGGCTCTGTTCACAAACATAAACAGAGCCCCAGGACAGCAACACATTTCGACCCAACCAAATCATGAGAAAAAAAAAAAGAGAATTACTTGACACATTGGAAAGAATTAACAAAAAAAACAGAGCAAATTAGAATGCTATTTGGCCCTAAACAGAGAGTACACAGTGGCAGAATACCTGACCACTGTGACTGACCCAAACTTAAGGAAAGCTTTGACTATGTACAGACTTAGTGAGAATAGCCTTGCTATTGAGAAAGGCCGCCATAGGCAGACCTGGCTCTCAAGAGAAGACAGGCTATGTGCACACTGCCCTCAAAATGAGGTGGAAACTGAGCTGCACTTCCTAACCTCCTGCCAAATGTATGACCATATTAGAGACACATATTTCCCTCAGATTACACAGATCCACAAAGAATTCAAAAACAAACCCAATTTTGATAAACTCCCATATCTATTGGGTGCCATCACAGCAGCAAGATTTGTGACCTGTTGCCACAAGAAAAGGGCAACCAGTGAAGAACAAATTTATGTTGATTTATTTATGTTGATTTATTTTCGCTTTTGTACATTAACTATTTGCACATTCTTATAACACTGTAAATAGACATAATATGACATTTGAAATGTCTTTATTCTTTTGGAACTTTTGTGAGTGTAATGTTTACTGTTAATTTTTTTGTTGTTGTTTATTTCACTTTTGTTTATTATCTACTTCACTTGCTTTGGCAATGTTAACATACGTTTCCCATGCCAATAAAGCCCTTCAATTTAATTTAATTGAGAGGGAGACAGGTGAGAGGAGTGGAGGAGAGGAGGAGAGGAAGAAGCAGTGGTGGAAAAAGTACCCAATAGTCATACTTGAGTAAAAGTAAAGATACAGTTGAAGTCGGAAGTTTACATACACTTAGGTTGGAGTCATTAAAACTTGTTTTTCACCCACTCCACAAATTTCTTGTCAACAAATTATCATTTTGGCAAGTCTGTTAGGACATCTACTTTGTGCATGACACAAGTAATTTTTCCAACAATTGTTTACAGACAGATTATTTCACTTATAATTCACTGTATCACAATTCCAGTGGGTCAGAACATTACATACACTAAGTTGACTGTGCCTTTAAAAAGCTTTGAAAATTCCAGAAAATGATGTCATGGCTTTAGAAGCTTCTGATAGGCTAATTGACATCATTTGAGTCAATTGGAGGTGTACCTGTGGATGTATTTCAAGGCCTACCTTCAAACTCAGTGCCTCTTTGCTTGACATCATGGGAAAATCAAAAGAAATCAGCCAAGACCTCTGAAAAACAATTGTAGACCTCCACGAGTCTGGTTTATCCTTGGGAGCAATTTCCAAATGCCTGAAGGTACCACGTTCATCTGTACAAACAATAGTACGCAAGTATAAACACCTTGGGACCACGCAGCCGTCATACCGCTCAGGAAGGAGACGCGTTCTGTCTCCTAGAGATTAACGTACTTTGGTGCGAAAAGTGCAAATCAATCCCAGAACAACAGCAAAGGACCTTGTGAAGATGCTGGAGGAAACAGGTACAAAAGTATCTATATCCACAGTAAAACGAGTCCTATATCAACATAACCTGAAAGGCTGCTCAGCAAGGAAGAAGCCACTGCTCCAAAACCGCCATAAAAAAGCCAGACTACGGTTTGCAACTGCACATGGGGACAAAGATGGTATTTTTGGTCTGATGAAACAAAAATAGAACTGTTTGGCCATAATGACCATCGTTATGTTTGGAGGAAATTGGGGGACGCTTGCAAGCCGAAGAACACCATCCCAACCGTGAAGAACGGGGGTGGCAGCATCATGCTGTGGGGGTGCTTTGCTGCAGGAGGGACTGGTGCACTTCACAAAATAGATGGCATCATGAGGAAGGAAAATTATGTGGATATATTGAAGCAACATCTCAAGACATCAGTCAGGAAGTTAAAGCTTGGTCGCAAATGGGTCTTCCAAATGGACAATGACCCCAAGCATACTTCCAAAGTTGTGGAAAAATGGCTTAAGGACAACAAAGTCAAGGTATTGGGGTGGCCATCACAAAGCCCTGACCTCCATCCTATAGAAAATTTCTGGGCAGAACTGAACAAGCATGTGCGAGCAAGGAGGCCCACAAACCTGACTCAGTTACACCAGCTCTGTCAGGAGGAATGGGCCAAAATTCACCCAACTTTTTGTGGGAAGCTTGTGGAAGGCTACCCAAAACGTTTCACCCAAGTTAAACAATTTAAAGGCAATGCTACCAAATACTAATTGAGTGTATGTAAACTTCTGACCCACTGGGAATGTGATGAAAGAAATAAAAGCTGAAATAAATCATTCTCTCTACTATTATTCTGACATTTCACATTCTTAAAATAAAGTGGTGATCCTAACTGACCTAAAACAGGGAATTTTTACTAGGATTAAATGTCAGGAATTGTGAAAAACTGAGTTTAAATGTAGTTGGCTAAGGTGTATGTAAACTTCCGACTTTAACTGTAAGTATCAAAAGTAAAAATAAAAGTATAAATCATTTCAAATGTCTTATATTAAGCAAATCAGACCGCAACATTTTCATGTTCTTTTAATTTACAGATGTCCAGGTGCACACTTCACTTTACAGATGAAGCATTTGTGTTAAGTGAGTCCACCAGATCAGAGGCATTAGGGATGACCAGGGATGATCTCTTGATAAGTATGTGAATTGGACAATTTTCCTGTCCTGATAAGCATTGAAAATGCAACTTTTGGGTGTCAGAGAAAATAAATGTACATTGTTTTCTTTAGGAATGTAGTGAAGTAAAAATAAAAGTGATCCAAAATATAAATAGTAAAATAAAGTACAGATACCCCCAAAAACGACTTAAGTAGTACTTTAACGAATTTTTACACCACTGGAGATGAGAATAATAATATGCCATTTAGCAGACGCTTTTATCCAAAGCGACTTACAGTCATGCGTGCATACACTTTTTGTGTATGGGTGGTCCCGGGGATCGAACCCACTACCTTGGCGTTACAAGCGCCGTGCTCTACCAGCTGAGCTACAGAGGACCACAGGGAGTCATTATTCAATACCTGTACAGTAATGACTTCTCTCTAAACATTTACCAGACGTTCTTATCCAGAGCAACTTACAGTTAGTGAGTGCATACATTTTTCATGCTGGCCCCCCGTGGGAATCGAACCCACAACCCTGGCGTTGCAAGCGCCACACTCTACCAACTGAGCTACAGGAGGGCCCACACATGCGCTCACATTTAGCCTTTGATGGAGGTTGGATGCCCTCACATTTAGCCTTTGATGGAGGTTGGATGCCCTCACATTTAGCCTTTGATGGAGGTTGGATGCCCTCACATTTAGCCTTTGATCATTCAAATACATGTTATGTTTTACTGAAGAAAATCATGTTGTGCTTGACCCAAATACAGTACATCCAACCTCCATTGAGTCCACAGAATAGTCTTAGTTCATTTTACGGTGTTGCTATTATTATCTTTCGAAGTTTGACTTTATCGTGGGTATCTCCAGCCCAGACGGAAACTCGACCCCCAACAAAAATGGCAACAGATCAAAGCTATTTATGGTAGTAGGCTGTACCTGGCATACAATAGCCAAGAGAGTATGTTCTGCTGTCTGGTGTCGTCTATTGTTAGCCATCCAGAATAAGCCTCCACAGTCAAGACTATAACCCTCAAACTCAACTCCGAACCTCGACGCCAGTTCCACTGCTTTTCTTAATTCTTCCCCTCTAATCAGGCACTGATTTAGACCTGGACACCAGGTGGGTGTAATTCATTATCAGATAGAGCAGAAAACCATCAGGCGCCGGACCTCGTAGGGTAAGAGTTTAATACCCCTGACCTACACACCCTACAGCAGCGTTTCCCAAACTCGGTCCTCGGAACCACCAAGGGGTGCACGTTTTGACACTACACAGCTGATTCAAATGATCAAAGCTTGATGATTGGTTGATGATTTGAATCAGCTGTGTAGTGTAATCCCAAATGTGCACCCCTTGGGGTCCCGAGGACCGAGTTTGAGAAACCCTGCTGCGTAGAATATCCTATACCATGTAGGATCTGCACAATATACAGCACAGCTAGAGAGACTTCTGCTGTCTAGTGTTGCAGTCATAGAGATATAATTCCTAGAACGGGTTTTCCCATTCAAGTCAATGAGTAGAATTATGCAGGAATTATATTTCTATGGTTGCAGTAGCCAGCTAGAGTAACCCTCTACAGTAGATTGTGATCAGTGTGCTGACACCTCCATAGACCATTTGGGTTTTCATTACTTACTCATGGATATAGTAACACACCCACCGACCGTGCGTCCTCCTATAGCTCCTCCCACCCGCCTCCACTGGAATACAGCATAGACTGTAGGTCTGGGATTTCCGAGACAAGTACTGAATCAGTCACGAGGTTGCAGTTACCAAGTACACCCACTAGATGGCTATATATAAATATACAGTAAAACTGTTTGTACATATACAGTATACAGTCTAAAATAATAGAGTGACATCTACAGTTAAACCCCTCCCTCTTTTTGCTTTCCCCCCCCCATGAACCCTGAACTGTGTATTACTTGTCAGGAGGGGAATTCCTCAGAATATAATTCCCTCTGACTTATTACTTACTTCCTCGAAAGGTCGCTGGTTTAAATCCCTGAGCCGACAAGGTGACAAATCTGTTGATGTGCCCTTGAGCAAGACACATAACCCTAATTGCTCCAGGGTCACCGTTGATAATGGCTGACCCTGGCCGTGTCCCCACTCTCCGAGGGTGTCTCGGGGTGTTGGGATATGCAAAAAACACATTTCCAATTCACATGTGTATTAATACACACCTGTGAAATAGGACAAATATAAGCACCCACCAAATGATTATTATTGTTAATGAACCTGTTGAAGACGGCAGCACACTGTGTTTATGTCTCCCTTTTCACCTGATGAACTTATCAAAGACGGCAGCACACTCAACGCTCTCCCTCAACATGGCGCCTTAGATACCAGAAACGTGCTTTGTAAGTGAATCGTTACCTGATGAACTTGTCGAAGACCTCAGCACACTCAGCGGTCTCCAGTAGGACCAGGGTGGTGCCGTTACGCCCGAGCAGCAGCTCCTCAAACACAGGGCTCTGCAGGGACAGCACCAGGGGAGTGGGCCTGGATCACCTTCATCACCTCCACCGTCTGGAGGGAGATTACTTTTTTTTGGGGTTTCAAATGTCACAGAGACACTGCGATTTGTCATTTTTCTGGCCCACTTTGCTAAACCCTCTAGGATAGCTGCCTATCTGAACCCTGAGGGACACGTCGCTGCCGTTCCCCTGAGTCACCAGGGCCTCGAGACGCTGCACCAGGGCCAGGGAGTGGCTCATGGTGTCACCGCCATCATTCTGGATCTCCTCAGCCTTCATTGGGCCCAAAAGAGGAACAACACTTTATTGTACAGTGTTAGGGGTTTAAAGGGAAATGAAAATGGTGTGTTTCTACGTTCTATGGTTTAACTATTTTTGCTACAAAACCTAACGAATGTGCCATTTTCACACATGTAGACACTGGTATGGTGCTGGAGATAATGAATATGAGGTTGAAAAGTGGTGCTATTGCCCTTGAGATAGAGCCGCAGGAGATGGCATGGGCCCCCTCACCATGAATAGGGAAGGGAGGAGGAGGGGGTAGGGGTGGTCGTTAAATACAGACACAGGACAATCTATGGCCCCTCAACCTTCACCATGGCTATTGGCAGGAGGGGGTAGAGTCCCAATCCATGGGATCAATCATTGTAGCTGTGCACACTGTGTGGGTGATTGTAGGTCAGCTTTTAATTCAACTTTGATTCATGTACTGCTAATATAGGCTATGGTACATGCCCTGACCAGATTCAAATGGGACTCAGAGACTGTATATGATTTGAATTGAGGATCTATTTGAGCTTTTTATTAATTTGTCAGAGTGAGTTCCTCTTTTTCTTCTAAGTCTGTTGGTCAAACTTCCTTTTCCGGAAGAAAAAGGAACAAAAAACACAGAACTATTATGTCAACATACACTTTACATCTCCACCAGTTGTGATGAACAATTATGTCAGCGTACACTTTAACTCAAATCACATTTCATTTGTCACATACACATGTTTAGCAGATGTTATAGCGGGTGTAGCGAAATGCTTCTGCTTCTAGCTACGACAGTGCAGTAATATCTAACAAGTAATATCTAACAAATTCACAACATATACCCAATACACACAAAACTAGTAAGGAATGGAATTTAAGAATATATATATATATATATATGGACAAGCAATGACAGAGTGGCATGGACTAAGATACAGTAGAATATTATAGAATAGAATGCAGTATATACATATGAGATGAGTAGTGCAAGATATGTAAACATGAATAAAGTGACTAGTGTTCCATTTCTTAAAGTGGCCAGTGATTTCAATAGGCAGCAGCAGCCTCTAATGTGCTCGTGATGGCTATTTAACAGTCTGATGGCCTTGAGATAGAAGCTGTTTTTCATTCTCTCGGTCACAGCTTTGATGCACTGCAAAGTGCACTGCAAAGTCTCCACCAGTAGTGATTCACACAGGCATGAGGTTGACAGTATAAATTACTGTAAGACTAGACTAATTATCTTAAACCTGGTTTTAAAGTTGAATGTATCAGTTCCTAAATATATTGTAAACTGCCCTCATTTGCAGTATTGTGTTCAAAGTAAATAATAGCTCAAGCTAAACAGCAGGAGGGTTCATAGTCATACTACTGTATCAAAGAAATGAAAAATAAGTCCCCCTTTATAAATGATCAAACAAATACAAACTACAAATCAAACACTCCAACTGTTACATTTTCCATACCCCAAAGGTTTATATGCACCTAAAATGACCCTCTACAATACATTACACTGAAGTGTTTTGTTATCTCAATTCTACCCCCTGTGCTTCTGGGTCATCCTGCCCGGCAAGGTGAGTTGTCAATGGGAACAGACAGACAGTGGTGGTGTTGGGTGGCCTTACCTCCAGTGACGGGGCCGGTGTGGAGACAGAGAGACAACAACAGCATCCCCATGAGGTTGATCTGGGCCAGGGGCCCTCTGGGTCTGGGAAGGGCCACAGACATATCTCCTCTTACTTCTCTTCCTCTTCTCTTCTCTTCTTCTTCTCTTACAGAAAGTACTTTTCTTCTCTCTCAATCCCACTGTCTCTCTCTCTCTCTCCGTTCTCTCCCCCTCTCTCCCACTCTCCGTCTATTCTCTCCCCCTCTCTCCTCCTCTCCGCCTCTCTCTCTCTCTGTCTATTCTCTCCGTCTCTGTCTCCGTCTCTCTCTCCTCTCCTCTCCCCTTGACCTCAGCTGGGCATGTGGTATCCTGTCGTGTTCTGCTCTGTCTGTCTGGCCTGATGCTGAAAGAGGAAAGAGGGGTCTGTATGTGGGACACTGGTTCTTCTAGGTCTATAGACACATCCTCTCATTCAGACCAACGGATGCTGCACATGATGCACAGATAGAATAGAATAGAACCCCCCACCCCCATCGATTAGTAGAATGAATCTGCCGGTAGGCCATTGCCATGACAACCACTTTGAATTTTGTAGTACTGCTCGGGGCATGTCAGAGCAGGCTAAGGGGGGGGGGGGGGGGCATTCACAAGTTGAGCAGCCCATTCTCAAGTTCAAGCAGGACAGAATTGTCAAGGTTGAACAGAACATATTGGTGGCATGTTGAAAACAAATCCTGTAATTTTCACAGTAAATGACTGGCAGCACAGTAACCAGTAAATTACTGTATATTTACAGGACCTTTACTGTATCACAAATTTACAGCATTTTAATGGAACACCTGACTACAGTAACATGCTGTATTTCTAGAATTTACAGTGCATTACTGGAAGCAAAGTGGTTAGTTAACTGTTGCAGATTTACAGTGCAAGTAGCTAGTGCCAACAACGGACAGTATTTCTGTTACATATATTTGATATAGGTATTTCAATCCTTTCAATACCTATTTTATAATTTTGTATTTCACTGGCCTGAACTACAATTCATGTAGCCTATTTTGGAACAGTTTAATTAGAATACATTAATTTTTTTATTTTCTAATGCAAATATATACCTGCAAGTAGCCCACTTATCTACAACAGTCTCGGTAACGGTAACATAATCTTTTTACTTGCTATGACTGTGATAAATTCTTGTTTACCTTAGTTACACTGACTGTAAGTCGCTCTGGATAAGAACGTCTGCTAAATGACCAAAATGTAAATGTAAAAATGAACACTTACAAAGCACACTGCTGGGTATTATTCTAATGAGCTCCGCCCCCAAACAAGGCCAAATTTGATCAAAATACAAATAGTTTGAGGGCAGAACTCATTAAAAATAATACCCAGCAGTGTGCGTTGTAAATGCACATTCTTAACATTCACATTTTGGTCATTTAGCAGACGCTCTTGTCCAGAGCGACCACATTTCACTGTCATAGAAAGTAAAATGTTAATGTAACCGTTACTTGGAATGTTATTGTTGTTAAGGATACATTGGTCTTCAAATTATCCTGTATTTGTAACAAGATACCGTTTGTATGTATCTTTGCCCATCTTTGGCTAGTGTAAAGTACATTACTGTAATATTCACAGTAACGTGCCACCAGGTTCCTGTAAGTTACTGTAGAATTCAGTGCAATGACACTACAATACTGTAAAATTAGCTTACTATACTGTATGAAAGTAAATGCTACTGTAATCATGTTGGTATTTTATTGTAATTACATAGGATTAGTGCAAGCAGGTTGGCTGCTAGGTATTTGAATATTACAGCATGTTTATGAATATTTTGTGTTTTATATCACTTGCCTAAACAAAGTAAATATACAGCAAAACAGCAATACAATACTTTATTGTTAAGTTGTATTTTAATAAAACTAGAGCAATCGCTAACAGTGAATAGTAATTATATATTACAGCATACCAATGAATATTTGGTGTTTTATATCAATAGCATCTATAGAGGCCGAAACAAAGGCTTCCAAGCTGGCTGCGATTACAGGGCAAAACAGTCCAAAAGGACACGGCTTAAAGGTAATGAACAGTCAAAATAACGTTTTTTTTACGAAATTGGAAGATATTTTAAGGAAACCAGATCAAAGTTTTTGCCATGATGCTCCTGTACTTCCCGTGTCTGAGTGATTGAAGACGGGCGTGACTGGGGTCCCTGATGATCTTCTTGGCCTTCCTGCGACACCTGGTGTTGTAGGTGTCCTTTAGGGCAGGCAGTGTGCACCCAATGGTGCGTTCGGCTGCACATATCATCCTCTGAAGAGCCTTGCGATCCGCGGCGGTGGAGTTGCCGTACCAGGCTGTGATGCAGCCCGACAGTATGCTCTCGATGGTGCTCCTGTAGAACACTGTGAGGATCCCCGGGGAACAGGCCTGTCACGTTCGTTGATTGACGGGACGGACCAAGGCGCAGCGTGATATGCATACATGTTTATTATAACGAAAAAACAACGACAAAACAATAAACCAACGACACGTGAAGTCCTAAGGTAACACACAACAAACCTCACACGGAACAAGATCCCACAACCCACTAGTGCCAATAGGCTGCCTAAGTATGATCCCCAATCAGAGACAACGAGCGACAGCTGCCTCTGATTGGGAACCACACCGGCCAACATAGATCTACACATAATAGAATACAAACATAGAAAACGCACAACAAGGAATATACACACCCTGACTCAACATTTAAGCGTCCCCTGAGTCAGGGCGTGACAAGGCCAAATTTCTTCACCATCCTGAGGTTGAAGAGTCGCTGTCGTGCCTTCTTCACTGCAGTGTCCGTGTGGTTAGACCATTTCAGCTTCTCTGAGATGTGTATGCCGAGGAATTAGAAGTTTATTGACCATCTCCACGGCGGCCCTGTTGATGAGGATGGGGGCGTGTCCAGCCTGGTTCCTCCTGAAGTCCACAATCAGCTCCTTTGTTTTGCTAACTGCTGTATAGCACACTGTATTATTTATACAACTAATATAAGGGCAGGACATGAGACGGGAGTAGAAATTAACGAGGCCATTGTTTTAATGCTATTCACAGGAAGAACATTCCAAGCATTTCAATATAGGTAAGCAAGGGGGGGGGGTTACAGGTGCCCTAAAGGGACAAAACTAGAATTTCAATACACAACATATTCCTCCCCCTTTACCTTTGATGATTCATAAGGAAAAATCAAATATTCACTGTTTTGCCTATTGTTTTCTTAATGTAAATAAATGAACTTTTCAGAATAACCTTTTCTAAACTAGGGATAGAGGGTAGACTGCCTCAGTCCCCAGACTTAACCCTGGGGTGTATTCTGCCCCAATGTCGGAGGTTAGTCTGAACTAAATAGTCAACCTGTCAGGGGGTCGTCTTTCTCTTG